CGTTCCCTCTGTCCAGCCCTTCGCCCCAGCTGTGTGAAGACGGCGATATGGCTTGCTGGGCTCAGACTCAGACACTCTCCAGAAATGCTCATCTCAGTTTTGAAGTTTCCAGCCGACAAAGTCTAACTCCTGACTCCAGGGAGGCAGTACTCAGGGCTGCAAAGCATTCTGAGCGACCTTCCGTCTTCGGAGGTCTGTTTCTGGACGGAAGAGCCCTCCGCTGGCCTCTGGAGGGTTTGTCTTTTCCAGGTTCTCGCCTAGCTTGGATTAGGGAAGAAAAGAGAAAGATGGCACCCTACTTATTGAGGGCTCACTTTGTGCCAGACCTTCTGCTTTCTGTGTTATCTTATTTAAAGCACACAGAGTCCTGCCTGATGGGTAAAGTGGGGCTCAGAGAGCAGCAGGAACCTGGCCAAAGCACTACAGCAAACAAGGGGCAGAGACTTCCAAAGCCAAGCACAGACTCCCCTCCTTCCACTAGACAGTCTTGCTTCAGATCTTGAGATGTTTTTCCCTCCTTTCTCTCTGCTTTGCTGTCTGATTTGAGGTCACAGCCTGTCTTCATCCCAGGAAGTGAAACACAATCCTTGTTGACAGGAACAGATCCGAAAGACACCGCCAACTTCGGAAAACACCAGTGGGGCTGCCATCAGCCCTGTTTTATGAGGCTGGTGATGTTGGGAATCACTCTGAAGGAAGAAGACAGAAATATCTCTTGTCTTTGCTTTAACCTGCCAAAGTCGGCACAGTTTTCAGGGCTGGGGGCCAAGTTGTGGGCACCCACACAGCCAGAAATCCTCACACACATATGGCAGCTGCAGCACACAGCTGTTTGAAGAATCTTCCTGCCAGAGGGAGATGGGGAGGTGGTAAGGGCACCTGAGGAGGAAAGGGGACTCTACAGCTACCAGGATGGAGGTGGTTGAACCTAGTGGGATCCAGGAAGCAGTCCTACCTCCAGGGGTGCCCAAGGGCAAAGTCAGAGCAAAATATGCATGAGGGGGAAAAAGGGGTGGGGTATGACCTCCTTGGCCATCTCTGCTTTCCTGCTTTCCCCTCTGCTCTTATTTATTTTTCCAGCTTCCCAGCTCCAGCACTCATCCCGTACCCCTTTCTCAAAGGTCTCCCTCTAGCTGAAGACCCAAAGGAGGGTTGCTGGGAGAATACATTGTAAGCTTGGACCTGCTGATAGCCATGAGAAGGAAGAGCCTGCCTACCGTGGCATCAGCTCAGAACAGAAACAGTGATAATGTCACTTGAGCCCTTCAATCCAGCCATGCCTGAAACCCCTGCATTTTTAAAATAATGGACCCCAAACTTTGCATTTTGGCTTAAGAAATTTTCAACTGGGCTTCTGCTACTTATAATAAAAACAACACAAATAAAACCGACCTGAAACAGCACCAGCATGTCTAGTACAATTTTCAAGGACAGATCCTCTACAACAGCCAAGGAAGGATGCAGAGAACTCTAGCACAAAGCCACTTGACAGAGTAAACTCAGAATCTAGACACACCGGGCATGGACCAAGCTGGCCCCTGTCTCAGGAGGCTGTGGCTCCCAGGGGCAGGTGAAGGGGGAATGTGTGTAAAAAGATGCTCAGGTTTAACTTAGATTTCCTGCAGCTCTGTAGGGAGGCTTGGAGGAGGCATAGACCAGGACCTATTCTGAGGCTCGGCAACCGACAGCTTGTCCTGAAGCTGTCCCAGGCAATGACGGTAGCTACCTTGTGTAGAGCCCTTCCTATGTGCCATGACGTGCTGTGTGTATTATTTCATTTAACCCTCACAGCAGTACTGAGAGGTAGATATGTTACTGGCATCATTTTTCAGATGAGGAATTGAAACTCACAGTGATGAAGCAACTTATTAATCATATAGATAGTAAGTGGCAGAATGGGAATTGAAATCTAGTGTATTCGACTCCAAAACCTGTGATTTTAACACTAATATCATACTTCTTCCAAGATGAGTCAATGGGGGTAGGAGAGCTCAGCTATATGGAGAATTAATAACAATCTTTTCTGTTGGTACAGCCTTCCAGAGTTTACAAAGCCCAGATTTATATGCAATCTCACTGCACCCATTTTACAGATATGGAAACTCAGGCATAGAGATAGGGAGTGACTTGCTCAAAGTCATTTGGGCCAACTGGATAAACTGCCCAAGGTGATGCTCCTCATATGGAGCCGCCAGTGTGTGGTCTGCAGAAACTCACAGTATGTAGGGGTAGTGGGTGGGGTTGGCCTCAACACACTGACCCACGCTTAGGGCAGTGATGGTATCAGTCTGGCTAAGGAAGATCTCTGACAGATGAGGGGACCAGCGGGTGTTGTGGCCACATATTCAATTGCAGGACACAAATCCCAAGACAGCAAAGAGCTCTGCACTCACAAAAAGATTCCCAGCTCCAGCCAAGGCCCTATTTATTTTTCAGCAACACTTGATATGGACAAATTCCAGTTCAACCAGAGAGATTCAGCTTCCTGGTGTTCCCAGGGGTGGGTGGGGGGGCTTTTGCAATAAAAGCAGCCCTTTTCTTCCACTGGGCCATCCTCAGCAAAAAAGGCTGCAAGACTGAGCTGAGCTGCCTGAGGAGCAAGGAGTCAGAATCTGCCTGCCTGGCTTCCTCCCTGCGGAGAGTAGGTGTCCCAGCCCGAGCCCCTGGGGCCCTCACTGTTGGGCCTGTCCTGAGGCTTTGCTGAGCTCAGAGGCACCTGAGAGAGACAAGGCAAGGCTGTCTTTCACTGTTCCCTGGGTGACTCTCACCTGGAGGAGTGACCAGGCAGGAATCCAGATGACAGGATAGAAGGGGCCAGGGCAGTCACTGTTGTTTACTACTGGAAGTGTGCCAGGGGACTGGAAGGTAAGCTGCAATCCCACCCCCTCCTCACCTTCCCCTCCAGGAGATACTGCTCTCTGTGTAGTTTTTTTTTTTGGGGGGGGGTATTCCTTGAGGCCAGGTGAGCAGCCTTCTGGATTTATTTTCCCACATGCTATCTGTGAGCTCTGAATCTAGGGCAAGCATTGAAGGCAGGAACAGAGGAGAAAAAGCAGGTTCCTGAAGTCAAACCAAGCCCTTCCAGGTCTGGAAGGTCTAGCACTGGTTCTGGGGGAGCAGACAGTAGGTCCTAGGTTTAAAGGCCCATTGCTACCATTTGCTTTCCTTGGGTGAGACCTTAACTCTTGCCATACTTAGTATTTACTGAGAGCCTCCTACATGCTTTAGATTCAACGGTAAGGGGTAAAAAAGACTTAGTTGCCTTCTTGGAACTTACAGTTCATGAGGAAGATGGAGAGAAACATTAATTAAACAATCAACACCAGTCTCCCACCACCACCACTGTCACCAGAAAAAGCAAAATGTCGGGGTGAGATGCATAGGACATGATGAGAGAGAATGCACCCTCTCTGGGGGGTTACAGAAGACTTTCCTAAAGAAATAGTAATGCAGCTGAGGTCTGGGAAGGCCAATAATGAAGCTGAGGGCTGTTTGTTTACTGAACAGAGCCGGAGGGGCATTCCATGCAGAGGAACAGGATATTCAAAGGTAGAATATTTGGCAAAAGGGAGAATGGCTCCTCTGAGGAACTGGAAGAGAGCTCATGAGGCTGAAGTACAGGGTGGAGAAGCAGGTGGGAGCAGATGTGCTCTTTATCTAAAGAACGTGGGTCTTTATCTTTAAAGCAATAGGAAGCCTTCTGAGGCACGTTAAGCAGGGAGGTGAGATGATCACACTTGCAGTTTGAAAACGTTACTCTGGCAGCCGCAAATAAGGAATTGGAAGGGAACCAAAATTCAGTAGGCCAGTTAAAAGGTCTCAGGTATTGACCTGTAAAATGGGGATAATGATAATACTACTTCATAAGCTGTTGCCAAGATTCCACGAGCTACTACATTTTAAGTATTTCAATACCTGGCACACGGTAAACTGTTCAGTAAATACCATTATTGTTACTTTTACTGTTTGTTTCTACAGAAAGTAGATCTTTCTGCTTCACGCTGTTCCAGTGAGATGGGCTGGGAGAGGGAAGTGGTTGTGCCTAGGATGGAAATGCAGTTTGCAGGAGTCACAAAGTTGAGGCCAGAAACTAGGATGCCCGAAGGCCCTATTGGAATGGCTTGAGAGTATGAACCACGAAGAAAACCAATTGATTCTGGAAACGTGCTCGGGAGATGGTAAGCCCTAGTGTCGGTTGAGAAACGTGCTTTTCTGCCAGGTATTCCAAAGAGCAGGTGTAAGGCTCGCACTCCTGTGCAGTCGCGCGGAGGGACCCACGTCTCTCCTCAGCCCCAGGCGGACCTGCAGGTTCCCGCCCCGCCGGGCTTCCCAGGCAGAGGGTGCGAGGAGGAGGGAGGGTCCCCGGAAGGCCAGCTCTAACCGGCCCGCAGGAGCTGCCCCCTCCCCAGTCACGTGGCCTGGTAGGTGGGGACCGACCTGAAGTTAGAGAAATCCCGAGCGATCCAAGTTCTGAGTGCGCCGCGGGTGCTCCCGAGCCTGGGCTGTGGGCGCGGGGGGCATCGGAAGGGGGGCGGAGGCGGCAATTTGCGAAGCCGCGCTGCGGCGCGGGCGGCGGGACTCGGGGCATGGCCCAGCTGTCGGTGATCCCGGGGTCGGCCACTGCGTGGACTGGTGAGGGGGAATCCGGGGGCGGCAGCGGGTAGGGTCTGAGAGGCTGCACTGCGGGTCTAGAGAATGCGGACGCCCCCCACGGGAGGGGCAATCCGGTAAAGAGACCGAGGTGGACACTTGGCGCTTCGGGTCGGTCCCGCCAGCTTCACTCCTCCCCGCCGGCTCTTACCCCAAGTCGGGGTGACGCTGAGATGCTCAGCTGACGTCCACGCTGGGAGCCGCTCGCCGCTCGCCGGCGGGGGGCGCTGTGTTCGCTCCCCGCCTGGTGCCGGCCCCGCCCACCGCGCGCGCAGTGGCTGCTCTCCGTGACGTCATGCTCGGCTATAAAGAGCACGGCGCGCGGTTCTCCGGCGCTGGAGGAGCTCGAAGACCAGTGTGGCGGGGGTTCCGGGGGCGGCACTGAGGCCGGCCCGCGGGGGTCTCAGCGATGTTTTACTCAGGGCTCCTCACCGAGGGCGGCCGCAAGGAGACCGACATGCGGGAGGCGGCGTCGCTGCGGCAGCAGCGCCGGATGAAGCAGGCCGTGCAGTTCATCCACAAGGACTCGGCTGACCTTCTGCCCCTGGACGGCCTCAAGAAGCTGGGCTCGTCCAAGGACACGGTGAGCCTCGCGCCCGCGACCGCGCCCGCGCCGCCTCGGGAGCCCCTGGCGCTGCGGCCTCCCGGAGCCCGCCCAGTGCCGCCTGCGGCTTTCACTGAGTCACCGCCCCAGCCCGCCGCTGCCCTCCGTCTCGCTATTCTCCATCCGTCCATCCCCTGGCTTCGGTGGCTCAGGATTCCGTTGTGGCTTTTCTAGCTCGCACCTCCCCTCGTCTCTGCTTCCTCCCTTGAGGTCTGTTCTCGAGTAGAAAAGACCCTCAAGTCGCCCTCCCCTGCCCTCTTGCCCTCTAGTCGCCTTTTCTTCCCGTTATTCGCAGTACAGATTCTGATCGCAGGGGGCTGGAGCCTCGCAGCCAGGGCAGCCCCACAGGCTGCTTGGCCGGTACCATGAGGTCCTAGTAAGTGTGAGGAGAGGACGAAGTGGGAAGTGGGGTGGGTTTCTTCGTGGTCACTATACCAGATGACTTCTGTTAAATCCATTTTCCCCTATGCAAAATTTTCTCCGTTTGATTTGGGTCTTACCTGCGTTTGACCTTGCATCCTGAAGTGAGACAGGAAAGAAGGGTCGAACATGAAGGTTTCCTGAACCCCAAACATTTATCTCTTCATCATAATCAGCCCTTCCTACTCCACCCCTCCCTCCACCCCCCACAGAGTATGGGTAGACGGTGGAACCCAGGAGTCTCCATCTCACCGACCTGCTAATGTGTGGGGCCGGGGCTGGTGCAAGCTTTTTCTAGGAGGGTTGCTCTTCTCATTAAGGAGAACCCCCGAGGACTGGAGTGGAGGTCTGGGTTCAAAGACCATGCTGCCCTCTAGATATAGAGGGAGACGGATGGCTAAGGGGACTCCTTTAAAGAACTGTATTTGACTCTCGTCCTTCAATCACTGTAGTGGTCCTGGGCCGAATTTATGTTTAGCTTTGTAGTTTTATCGGGAGTTTTCTTGTAGTTTACTTGTTTTCCTAAATTCCATAACCATTTTATTCATTGGGGCAATAACTTATGAAACATCAATTGAATGCCTTTTAAATGAAATAAGTACTCTAATTTTTCCAGTGGGTTTCTTCTTCTTCTTCTCCTTCTCCTTCTTTTTTTGGCTTTTAGAATGTTTAATTTGGGTGGGTGGGGGCGCATGTCAGCCTGGTTCACTGAAATTGGGATTTCTAGCTCAAGAATAACTATTGAGGGCAGAATTCTGCATCTTTTTTTAAAAATGACCCTAATGATACACAGATACTAATACCAGATTTGCCCTCCCTTATTGTGATGAAAGTCATTTTTAGTTATTTATGTACAGGAAGGTCTACCCAGCTGTCTTGCTCTGTTTTCTCAAAGATTTTTTTCCTGCACAAGTCACAGGATTGTCAGTCTGCTTCAGACTCGCTTAGAGTAATGACTGAAATGTATTCCCAGAAAAAAAAAAAGATAACTCTCTGTCTTTCCTTCTTTTACTTTAAAGCAGTTTAGATTTATTTAGCAAATCAGGTCCAAGTCTTCTTCCATTCGGGCCAAAATAATCCTAGCTCCTGGAACCCACAGGAACCCATAAAGAAGAAAATATTGGGAAAAGAAGTAAAATGTGGAATGTTTTTCTTCTTTTCATTCTGGATTAAGATATGATGAAAATTTGGTTTTCCTGATTTCCTATCCCTGAGAAACTACCTCTCCATCCTTCTGCCTTAGCATTCCGTACACTACTTCATCCTGTGTGGGAAGTATTCCATCTGTGTTTCTGACTCCAGTCTGTCTCATCTGAACCACACAGAAGCTAATTAGCCATAGCCTGGAAGAAGGACGCACCCTCAGAAAGCAGATTATTGCCGTGGATGTGACACGCAGCAGTTTACTGTGGCCCTGAACCGCGGTTCACACTTTCTCCACCTCTACCCCCCATTGCCATGGAGTCGATATCCCTTCCTCACTGTTCTCACACCTTTTATGTGCAGATGGTTGCAGAGAAGAGTGAGAACAGGTCGCAGCCTGGCCGGCTGTGGTTGGGCCCGGAGAGCTGTGAGTACTGGAGTGAGGCGGCTTGCTTAAGCTCTCCTGGAACTGATTTTGCTGCCTCAATATAATCTTAGAATAACCTTAGAAGTGCTCTATCACTTCATTTTAAGGGTATATCTGGCAATATAGACCAGTGTTGACTCCATTTTTTTGTATTGAAGTGAAATTTTGAGGATGCCAACATTGACTAAGGAGGTATATAGTATAAACTCATTAGAAAAAGAACAAGAATAAGGAGAGGATGGCACCAGAGAGAGACAAGGGGAAAAATAAATTAGCTTTAATTGACTCTGGGGTATATGCCAGTGAGTGAGAAGATTGTGGGTTATTTTTTTCCTACTGGTGACCTATATTAGAATGATATTACTGGGTTTACTAAATTACCCTTTGCCAAGCTGTGTCTGTAATTTTTGCTATTTGATACTAGCCTGCCAACTTTTTTTTGGATTGGCAAAGAGCACCAGTAGGCAATCAAATGTGGTCTTATTCTCTTGGCCCCCCCAAGAAGTGCCTTTGCCCTCTTTCTGTTTTATGTGTAGTTGGCTGCTACAAAGTCTGCTATGCAAATTAATTGCATAGTTAACTTATTTCTTATGCCTGGCTCTCTTATTTTGTGTATCCTTTCATCTTGAGATTTTTTTTTCTGTCTAATGTCAAGAGGCAAAATCAGAGGTATGAGTGATATTTGAGTTATTATTTTTTTAAAAAATTGATGAAACTGGAGAAAAATCTTGGAGTATCTTTTGTTTTAGTTACCAGGCTCATAAATGTTTTTCTCACAGAGGTAAAGACTTTTTAACTTTTAAAAAACAGTCGTGTTATAGGATAATGTGCAGTCTTTCCAATATAATAGTATTGGTGAGCATCAGGCCAAATCCATAGTTGTCTAGCAATAGAAGGAGTTTTGTGTTCCTACTATGAGTGATTCTGCTTATAACCAAATGCCTTAGCAAAACTTACTGGAATTAGGAATGAAGGCCAAGGCCAGGGGAAGGATGGTGCAACACAGCAAAGCCAACCGACCATGAAATAGCTAGTCCTATACTCTGAATGTCTGATCTACCTGATCAGAATCTTTCAGTTAGAGCAGCCATGGGCGGTGCCCTGTAGTTTAGCTATTCATAATGCCACAAGACATCCATAATTCTATAGGTTTTGAACCAAAGAACTTTGGCACCTTTGAAAAGGAACATGAAATACCAGTGTAACACCAGGACCTGGTGCAAACTGAAGATTTTCAGAGCTGTGATTGTGTCCTAAAAATAGCAAACACTATTTGAATACTTGCTGTGGTCAGAACACTTGATAGATGCTAGAACCACAGGTAAGAAGATAGCAAAATTTCTGTAAGGAGCATATAGATTAGAGGAAGAACAGAGCAGATTAATTTGTTCTACAAATATTTATTGAACACTTATTACATGTCAGGCAATAATATAGGAATTCAAGATATAATAGTGTGAACCAAACAGAGATCTTGCCCTTACGGAACCTATATTTTTGTTGTGGAAAGGCAGAAAATAAAAGCAAATAGGTACATATCAAGTAGCGATAGGAGCTATGGAGAAAATAAACCAGGGTAAGGGGCATTCGGAATGCAGTGAGTGGCCAGGGTAGGGCAGAGTGGGACCTTGCTATTTATATAGGGGGGTCAGGGAAGGCATCTCTGATAAGATTTCATTTTAAAAGATACCGAAAGAAATTAGAGAGCAAAATATCTTGGTGAAGAATGTTCTAGGCAGAAGGAACAGCAAGTGAAAAGGCCTGAATTATCAGTGTGCTTGATGTGAATGAAGAATTATGAGAAGGTCATTCTTGCCAGACCAAAATGAACAAGAGGGAGATAACATCAGAGAGGTGGTGGGAGGCCGGAGTACTTAGGTCACTGTATAGATATTTTGCTTTTAATCCAATATGGAAAGCCAGTGTAAAACTTTGGGCAGAGGGGTGACCTTAGATGACTTATTCTGTAAAAATGTTATTCAGATCACTTTGTGGATTAGGCTGTAGAGAGGCAAGAGTAGAAGCCAGGAGACTGATTAGGTGCAAGATGAAGGAGGCTCACAGCAGTGTGACAGCAGTGCAGGGGACAAGAAAAGATCTTGGTTGTACAAAATTAAATGTTACTGTTGTACAAAAGCAGCCATAGACAGTTGATGAGTTTTATTTACAGAAACAAGCAGCATCCCCGATTTGGTTTGGGGGCTGTGTTTACTGACCCCTATTTCTGGTGGTTCTAACTGTGGTTCTATTGCTAGCTAGAAACCTTAGGTTTCTCCTCTGGAAGTGAATGCTACAAAGAAGGCAGACTTCTGTCATCCTCCCTGTTTTCTACTCTGGTCCATTGTCTGGACCAGAGAATTCCATTAGTTTCATTCTGCCTGGGTTCAGTGCAGCATAGGTAAAGGGATTGAGAAAGTAGCCTTAGAAGTTCTTGCGCAGATCATATTGGGTGGCATCCTGCAGTATAATCTATTTCCTCCCCTCCCCCACATTCTTCCCACCTACAGCCTGATTAGAAGAGATAATTAAGCAAACTGTATGCCAGATTGAGGAACCTCAACTATTTCTACCCAGAAAACAGCACTGCCCACAGGTCCCATTTCCTTCGGAAGCTCCTGACGATGATGGCGGCGGCACATTTGAGCTCGCTGGAGTAGAGTTTAGATGCTTGAACCCTACTTAGGGCTTAGCAGCAACACTTCAGAAACAGTAGAGAACCAGGGACGGCTTAAGTTAGTAGCTGCCTTGTTGAGCTAAAGCATAAAGAAGGATTCATGTCAGGAGGATGACTTGAGAATTATGCCCAAAAGGCCATCAGAGCACCTGTAGCACCTGCCTAGCTAATTACCAATGTGTATCTTGAAGGATATCAGGAATGCAGAAAACAGTCCTTGGAAACCCAGTATTTCAATAAACATAAAAAATGAACCAGTTAAGCAAATTTACACAGTAACAGTCATGGAGTGTGAACTCAAGTAGTACAAACTACGTAATGTACAAGAACTGAAGGGATTCTGAAAGGAAGAGCTAATGATGTTCATCACGAAAGGCTTTTTGAAGACATAAAGGGTAGAGATTGGTTTGTTCATTACTATGTCAAGAGTTGGAGATATAGCTGTGATCAAGACAAGATCCCTGCCCTTGTGGAGTTAACACTGTAACTGGGGGAATGAAATAGTAAACAAGTAAATAAACAACTTATTGATTTTATCATTACCTATTGATTTTCTACAATAATAGATGAAGTTTTGATTCTCCTACACCTCTCCATCATATTTCTCTCCTATTATACCAACATTCGGTTAAATAACTATTTTGTGTCAAATCAGCATGTACTGCTTACATTATTATGACTACATTCATTTTATTCACAGTTGAGTCAAATAATATATTTTAATTATGTCTCCTTTCTCATATTCATACTTATTTTTCTCACAATTATTAACTGCCTATTTATTCATTCATTCAATTTTCTACGTAAAATTTAAATATACTTCAAGTGCCTTAAAATTGAAGATGACCTAGCAGGTCCATTTCTTTCCTTTTTTTTTTTTTTTTTAATTTGTCTTGGAGGCATCCTTCCCGGAGCCCTCTGTCTTCCCATTTCATTTTGGACTGGTTGCTCTCAAGACCTGCCGCACAACCCGTATCCTCGACTTTTCTTTAATCACCATTCTCAGAATTTCCTTTGCCTGTCTTCTCTATCGGATCCTTTATTTCTTGGGTCCTATGCTTCCCCCTCCCACCTCCTGTTCTTTGATTTCTCTTGCTTTGGTGGAACATGGCCTTCAGGAGCTTCTTGAGGATGTACGGGAAGTACCTGCTGAGTCTTGATTGATAGTTTGGCTAGGTTTAGAATGTATGTACTGGCAAGTTTTTAAAAAGCATTATTTCATTGTCTTTTAGCTTCCATTATCACCACTGAGCAGTCCTATGCCATTCTTGTTCCTCATCCTTTGTGTTTGGATCATTTTCTCTCTTTGGAAGCTTTTAGAATCTTTGTCATTTATAGTACTCCAGAAATTCATGGTGATGTGAAATCTTGGTGTGGATCTTTTTTCTTTCATCATGCAAGGCTCAGTGTGGGCCCTTTCAGTCTTTAAACTCTTAGCTGTGGGTTCTGGCTTAATATGCTACGCCATCCTCTCTTAGTTGTTTTAGAAATCCGACAGTGCATAATTTCTAAGCCTAGCCAAACTGTCAACCCAGAGTCTTTTGATTTACTCTTACAAAAAGAGTAAACTTTTGGCATTCTTCCCAGTCCTCTGGGCCAAGTGGGAGTCTTCTGCAGGCTTTACACTAATCTACTTTCCTACCGTAATCATGCCCTCCAACTATAGAGGTGCTCATACCTCTGGCTCCACAGCCTTTCTGGGGTTTTAGTTTGAGTAGGAAAAATGCTTTTATAGTTAGACCCCAAAATATATAATAGCTCAAACATAAGAGGTTATTTTTTCTTAAGTATCAGGTCCATCCTCCCATAGTCATTTAAGGACCGAGGCTGACAGTGACTCTGGTGTCTTCAACATGTGACCTCCAAGAAGTTTACCCTAGTGGTCATCTCCATTCCAGCCTATCGGGAGAGGAAAAGTGTATGGAGGAGGGTGTACAGGAGATTTTCAGCGGCCAGGTCTAGTAGTGGCACACGTCTCTCCTACCCATATTCTCTTTGCTAGAACTCAGTCCTGTGGGCATGCCCCACTGTGGGGAGGCTGGGAAACGTAATCTAGGAATCGGCCCAACACGAAGAGGAGAACATGGATTTCGATGAACAGCTGGCAGTCTGTGCCGCCCCCGTGCCCCGTGGAGTAGAATGCTGTGACTCGCTTAGCTTTCTCTAGTCTAGGTCACGCACCACTTTTATATCTGCCCTTCAGATTCCAAAATATGTCAGCACCTCTTTCTTTTTTGTTGTTGTTTTCTTTACTGTTCCCTTTGTTCTAGGTTTAGGCCTTTCTTATTCCTTGATCATCATTTCAGGGAAATTTTGCTTTGAAGAAGTGTATAGTTACGCGGTCATTGAAAACACACAGGCATAATAAAATGACCACAGAAACATATCTCTGAGGTCCATATGGGTTTATTGGCTATGAATTTTCAATTCTCGAACTATATTCTGAATACTTTTAGTTATGAAAGTAAACGAAGAGAATTATATTCATTGATAGAAAATGCATTTCATAGGTTAACAAGAATAGAAAATTTTAGAAGTGTTATAGTATGATTCTATTTTTTGTATATGTTTGTAACTGTATTAAAATTCTTTTAAAGGATATACTTCTAAACTTAATGGTTGTGATTTGTAGGCAGGGGTTGAGAGGTTGGGGAGCCTGTCCCTTTTCACTGTATATGCTTCAGCGATATGTGCATATTTTACATTGAGCGTGTATTCGTTTGACCTTTCATTTCTGAAGAAAAGGACAAATAATGGAATACAGTCACCACTAAAGTTCTCAGATGCTCAAGTCCCTTATATAGAATGCAGTAGTGTTTGTATAGGCTACAGCTGGGTATGCCTGTACATCACTTAAGTTGTGTGGATTCATTCAGTGTAGAGCTCAGCATGTGGAAAATCCAAGTTTTGTGTTTTGGAACTTTCTGAGATTTTTTTTCCTGATTATTTTCAACCCGCATTGGTTGAATCTGTCGCTGCCAAGCCTGTGGGTATGGAGGGCTGACTGGTCAGCAGGGCCAAAGGCCCTCCAGTAGTCAAATAAAGTGAAGGCTGAAACATATCTGCCGGATTTGGAACTGAGGAGGTTGTTACTGGTGCTATGGGATCGAAAGTGACTCAGTGAGGAAAATGGAGGGTATTGGGAACTAGATATGGTGATTTGGCTTTTCTTTAAAAAGACCATTCAAGATCAAGGGTATGATTAGAGAGGCATGTAGAGTTGAGGAGACCAGGTCTGGGGTTTTTCTCCTCAATATATTAGAACTTTGAGTATGTTTTATAGCCTGTGGAGGAAGAGCCCAAAAGGAAGGGAGGGAAATTCAAAAAAGATGACTTCAAGGAGAATAAATTCTAGAATGTTCCTCATTTGCCTCCTCTGTCCAGTGGTGATGAGACTCCTCTGCAGGACCGAGTACCCAGATAAAGTGCTGTTCAGCAAACGGACGTATAATGAAAGGAAAGCCCCGAGCTTTCTGTGAGGAGGGCTTTGATTAGATGGCCTTTGAAACCTCTTGCAGTTTTCAGTTCTGTGCAATTTACCTGAGCTGGCCCTACTGAGCGTGGACTTGACAGAAGCAAACACCCTGATTTAGTATGATTTGAGTTAGGAGTCTAGGCTTATTAGCAAGAGAGAGAAGAATGAAGAATTTCTATTTCTTTTGAGGAGCAAAGCATTATCCCACCAGCACATCAGAAAATCTGAGTTAACACTTCCTCTAGCTTTTTATCAACTTAAGAAGCTCATTTTCTTTAAAGTACCTCTTTCTCTCCTTTTCTTAAGGATACTAATTTAGAATCTGTTTTGCCAAGGATCAGAGTATTTTGGGAATACATTTCTTCACCTCACCAGGGTTACAGTGAGTCATGGCTCTGACTCCATCCTCCTGCCTTCCCTGGGAAAGTTCTAGGCTCTGGGCTGCTAAGAGTGACTGTCTTCCCCTAGAATTGGAGTGCCATCTGGTATGTGTTATATAGAACCTTAGGGTTCGATGCTATACTTCGAGGGATTTTGAATCATAATGTAAACTGGGAATAAGATGCTTTGTGTAGAAGTTTCTCAGGTCAACAACTTCTTATCAAGAGGTAGCTTATACTCTCTGGAGGCCACTTCGGGTGAAAACAGTAGAGCACAGACTCATCTGCCCTGGGAACTCTCTCCTAAGCTCAGTCAAAAGGCAGACTTGAAATCACATTCCTCACTCTGCTTTCTAACAGTAGATATCCTGACACAGATATAAGGTCAAGTTAAGTCCCCTTCTTCTTGGTCAGTCTCTGCACCTTTTATACTCCCACTTTTTGGCCCATTGAAGAGAAGGGAATGGATGACAAGCATATGACAAGCATATGGCAGAAGTTGTCTTACACTCTTCGAGGTTTAGTAAGGATGATTCCTGTGGGTTCTGCCACGTTCCAAAGTGTGTCTCTTGAGAGGGTTGCTCAGCAGGTCTCAATTCCTGTCTTCCCACCCCATCCACCTGTGGGTAACTCAGCCGTCAGGCCAGTAAGGCATATGTGTACGGATCAGTTACATAAAAGGCTGTAAGGGAGTCAGACTTGAAATAGAAATAGGCAGAGCCTCTGACAATCAGTCCTAGGCAGGCGTCTTCAGCCTCTAGAAATAAGCTGCCCCTTCTGTAAGTCACCTGAAAAGTACATCTGTTCCACATGGGAAAAGGACACTTTTCTCCTGAAATGCCCTTGTAAGGAAGGGGTGGGAAGGCACAGCCCAGGCAGTCCAAATCACAGGGTCCTTCAGTTCTCTGTAGCCATGGACTGTACATTGGCCCTAGCCAGTTTTTAGTGTCCCGCCTTGCTCTTTTCATTCTGGGTAGCCTCCTGCAAAGCGGTTTATAGTACCTGCTCTGACAATACCAGCGATGTCCCTACTTGAAGGAAGAATAAATAAGTAGCAAAGGTAGAGCTCTGTTATGTGCGGCTCCTTCATTATTTCAGTGGTACCTGGGGGACAGTGGGAAAAATGACTTGCCATTAAGAAGCCTCTGCTTTCCCTTCCTCAAGCAACCACATAACATTCTGCAGAGGCGCCTCATGGAAACCAACCTGTCCAAGCTCCGAAGCAGTCGTGTCCCTTGGACCTCCAAGACCAACAAACTCAATCAGGCCAAGTCTGAGGGACTGAAGAGGTCTGAGGATGATGACATGATTTTGGTTTCTTGCCAGGTAATGTTCTGAGAACAGCTTTTCCAGGGTTTTCTGGCAAGTACAGTTTGGGCTTATTGTGATCCCAATAGTGGGTTTCTTACCTCCAAATTATAGCATGTGGGTCTTACCATAGAATTTGTAAATGAGTTTCAAGGAGGGCACTCCCTGCAACAGAGAACATGTATGCAGTATTTTGCACGCATTTGCATCCTTATGGAAAAAAGGACCAAAACATTCATCAGATTTGCATGGGGCTGTGTGATACACACACGCGCGCGCACACACACACACACACACACACACACACACAAGATCTACTTGATGTATAGGATGAAACACCCAAATTCCTTTGGGATCTTCTGTCAGCTCTAGGTTCAGCAGGGAAAAGAACCCCTCAAAGGAGACTCGGCAGTGGGTAAAGATGGGATGCTACCACCCCATATTGTGAAGATGCTTTCCACCCCTGCCATTCATACGACATCTGCTGCTTGCTCTCTGGATCTCCCTTCCCTTGCTCTTATTGAACAGTGTGTTTCCTCTCCACAGTGTGCTGGAAAGGATGTGAAAGCCCTGATTGACACAGGCTGTCAGTATAATCTCATCTCTTCAGCCTGTGTGTATAGACTGGGGTAAGTAGCTGCTGGATGGAGTTGTACTGGATGGATGGAATTCAGATGCTAATCACTCTGCCTGAATCTGTTTTGAGGTTAGAGATGGTGAAGGTCTCCACAGAGGCTCCAAGAGAAGTATGCAGAGCTAAAATATCAGCTGGATCCAGTCTGTAGGACAGAGTGAGGGTCCTCAGGGCCCTGGGAGGAATCAGTGAGCCAGGAAAGCCTCAGACTTTCCATTAACTCCCATGTATTACATTTTGAGAAAAGACCACTGGGCTCTGGAATGAGAGAACATGAGATTCTTGGTTGCTGTGTGTCATGCCCTGATCCAGATTTGTGCCCTGCCCAGACATCAAATTAGAAGGAGCTGTTCTGTTGGTATAACCTCCATGAGTAACAGCAGGATATGTGGGAGGCTTTAGCTTACTAGGGTCCTTCTTAAGGTCATACTGCCTGTCCCAAGAAGCATCAGTCTGAACTTGGAATGGGACTGCTGTTGCTGCCAGGCCTGAATAGCAGTCATTAACCAAAAGTTTCTCAGTGTGTTTTTTTCTTTCTGAAGAACATGTGAAATGACATCTTACTTCTGTGCCTGCTGGGTTTTGGGTGCGAGAGGCAGATACCTCATGTATTGAATGTCTTCAGTTCTCTAACAGCTGGTAATGACTTCTCTCTCTTTTAGTCACAGAAAGCTGTTTTGTACCCTTCCTCCTTTTCACTCAGTCTGTACTTTCATTTCTTCTTCCTTCTCTTTCTTCCAAAGTACCAAAGGGCACTGAGATGTAGCCCAGAATTAGGAGGATCAACCCAGCGTTCTTTTCCACTTCTGTATCCCTACACACAACAGATCATTCTCTAGCCCAAATCTCTGCATTGACACAATCGCTAGGGTATATATAATGGCCCATTTTAAACTACTTTCAAGGCGTTCATATTCTTAGGTAGGGCTTACACAAGACTTGATTTGTGGGATCAGTGACCTATGCTACGTGATCTGTTCCTTCTTGTTCCTCCCCTGCCCTCCACCTTCACCATTGCTGTGTCTCTTTGAAACTACCTCTGTGGGTTTTGTATATTGCTATACAGGGTGGTGGGGGGAGTCCAAGATGCAAGTGCTCTTGTGGGAAGAACCCTGGTCTTTTTAATGTGGTGAAAAGATGAGGTAAAGTGCAACGTGATGGTTCCAGAAAGACTAATTATGTCCTGGTGCATAATTAGGCAGCAGACTGCCATGATTCCAGAGGAATTAATAACCATCTATAAAGCTGCAATTATTATTTTTTTGGATGGGCTATAACACTAAAAGAGAGGAAATGGAGTAAAGCAGAAGTATTGGCACAGAAAGTCCATAATTAAGTATTTATCCACCAACCCACAATGGTTCGGGTGCTAGCTGTTCCCATCACGTTACATAACTGTGAAACCTTGGATGCTGTTTCTTTCCTTCCTCCCCTGCACAGATAAGTTAAATTAGTTGGAACTTTCTCTGTGATATTCCTTGCTGATATTAATATCAATGCACTTACTGACATTAAACTTATAGCCTAAGACTAACTGATGAGGGTAGACTGAAATAAAAAAGACACAGAGAAAGTTAGACATTGAACAAAGTATCTTCTAAAATTAGAATCAACCTGCCCTCTCTGAGATCTGTTACCCACAGAGGGGTAAAAGGACATGTTAACGAAGCTGCCTCGCACATGAGTAGGGATGTCAGGATGCAGAATAGGACTCTCTGAGTGCATCAACTCTTATCTTTTACCTGCACACATAGTGGCGTTATCTCTTTATGTACAGAGGCTGCATTTTTAGTTTTTCTTATATCCCCTGGCATGTTTAGGACACAGTGCCAAAATAAGAAGTGTAGACTGGCTAGCACTTTTTTTGTAAATTGATCCCAGGAAATCCCTGGATAATTCCAACTGTGGGTCAGAAGGTAGATATTGCCAGAGTCCATCAGAAGCCTCTGCCAAGGGGATTCTGGTATCTTCTCCTCTGGTGCAGACTCAAGGAGCATGTCAGATCTCACAAGCATGAAGGAGAGAAGCTTGCTCTACCCCGGCATCTGAAAGTAGTGGGCCAGATTGAGCACCTCGTGATCACACTGGGCTCTCTCCGCCTGGACTGCCCAGCAGCTGTGGTTGGTGAGTAGAACTGGGGACCGGACCTATGGGCCCCCATGTAAATCCTCTTCCTACTCATGAGATCTCATGTCTGTAAATACTGACTTCTTCAAAATCCCAGGTTTTCACTTTTCTGTACTGTAGACTGTGTCCCAATTATTGCCCTCCAAAATACCAGTGGGACCCTGGGCTACATTCAAGGCAAGTTGAGACTTATCTTGAAAAAAAGAAGGGGGAAGGAGCAAGACAACAAACATGTTGTGTGCCAGTGAAAGTGGCCCCTCAGAGCTTTCCATGAGCGACTCTGAGGTCGATGGCAAGATCCTCTCACTCCTATGCCATAAATCCCTTGATAATTCCCCAACACCTATTACTTTCCCTAATGTGTTCTATTCTACACTACTCTAAGTTCTTGATTTTCATTTAAAGTTAAAAAGTCCTGGGTTTGCCCTGGCCATGTGGTTCAGTTGGCTGGAGCATCATCCCATACATCCAGAGGTTGCAGGTTCGATTCCTGGTCAGAGCATGTACTTAGGTTGCAGGTTTGATCCCTAGTCAGGGCACGTATGGGAGACAACCGACTGATGTTTCTCTCTCACATTGATGTTTCTCTCTCTCTTTCCTTTCCTCTCTCTCCCAAATCAATAAAGGTATCCTTAGGCGAGGATTAAAAAAAGAAAGAAAAAGACCTGCTTTTGAATTTTGGTTAAAAAGACCAGGGCTTGAATCTTTGGTTCTATTGATGTTTCACTATAATGATCTGAGAAAATTACTTAAAATAACAGATGCACACCAGATGTTTATTAGATGGATAGAACAAATATTTATTGGGTGGATAGATGATTGATAGGCTGAATGGAAACTAATGATGATAAGGCTGACTTCTAAATCAATATGGAAGTGGCTGAATTTTAATTTCTTTTTATTAGAGGACAATGAGAAAAACTTGTCCCTTGGTCTGCAGACTCTCCGGTCCCTGAAGGTAGGATCGGTTCTACTTTCCCTTTGATATAAGGGGTTCTACTTTCCCCATATGAGGGGTCATCTTATATGGACACCCCCAAAGGGAGATCATTAACAGTAACCAGTGATTTTCCTTTGTTTTCAGTGCATCATAAACTTGGATAAACACCAGCTGATCATGGGGAAAACAGACAAAGAAGAAATTCCTTTTGTGGAGACAGTGTCCTTGAGTGAAGACAAGTGAGTGTCCAAATGGGTCAGATCAAATCAAATCCATTGGCCATTAACCAGAGGGGTTCTCATACAGGATGTTGGGTTGTGTTCTTTTTTTTTTAGGTATAATTAACATATTATATTAGCTTCGGGTATGCAACATAATGATTCAATATTTGTATATATTACAAAGTGATCATCACAGTAAGTCTAAACATCCATTACCTCATTTTCCCCCGCCATTCCCCCCCCACCCGGCCATCCCCATGGGTTGCGTTCTGCCTGTGGCCTTCAGTCATACCACAGATACACTCTCCCCACCCCCACATTTCACCATCTTAAAAAACTCTCTCGCTCACATTTCAGAGTGAGCAGTTATGATACTGCCCAGAGTGGTGGAGAAAATGAGTTTAAACTAAACTTATGCTCGCCTTCCTAAAGTCCTTGAATTGGGTATCGTTTATTCTGTTTCCTTCTCCTTTCAGCACTTCAGAAGCATAACCGCAGCCTGCAGTGTGTCTGCACAGGTGCACACACCAAGTGGACAGATGGAGAAACCGGGGTTTGAACCAAATGCAGTAGCAACTTGCTGTGGACCAAGTCCTTTTCTCTAATAGAAGCCACAGGGGCTCTTTCCCACCCAGACCTCTCTAGACTTTAGTCTGTGCTTAGAGATCTTGTCTGGTTATAGCCATTGTTTTCTACTCCTTTGACCACTTAATATAGACCTTTTGACACTGCCAGGTCTCACTTGTGGCCTCTTTCTCTGCTTCTTCCAGGAACTTGCTTTTATTAGTCAAATATAGGGGCTGCCAGGTTCTATTTCCCCATAAGTACACTTGCTACTTCTCCTATAGCTAAAATGTATAATAAACAGGACCCTGACCTTTATCTCCTTTCAGCTGTTTCAGACAGGTGCAGGATATGTCTCAGAATGAACATCTCTTCTAATTCATTCATTGGTTTCTCAAGTATGAATAGATCTGAGATCAGAAAGAGCCCAGGGAGATCAATTTAAAGGTCCAGAGAGGCGACTGAATTGTCTAAACTCAAACACAGAGTCAGCAGCAGAAGGGACCTAGAACTTTTTCCTGAAAAGCCAAGGCTGTGTTCGTTTGTTCTCCCATGCTGCTTTGTTTACCTTTAGGACTTGAGAGGAAGGTAAAGAGATGGGGGTTTGTAGAAAGGCAGGGTAGGGGAGGAATGTGCTTTGGGGATGGAAGCAAGGAGGACTAGGTGTCCCTCCCCTCTGTGAGCTAAGTCCGCTGAAATTCCCCTGCCCTGAATTGTCACATTCAAGCCCTTGTCTTAGTACCTAAAAGCTGAAGGTACAAAGATCAATGAGATGGTCTTTCACCTGGAATTTCTTGAAGGAAAGGAGGGGAAGGAACCACAGACAGAAGAACGTTAATTACTCTCTGAGATGGAATTGAAGGCTTCAGTAAATACCGGTAATCTGGGTATCATTGTTAGACATTAATACTCCCGGGATGCAGTCGCTCTCTCTGCCCAGCCTGTTGTTTGTCTGGCCTGGACTCGAGTAGCTGCAAACAGGAGTAGGTAAACAAGGTGAAAAAACCTGGAACAGGCCCAGAATGGAAGGGAGGAGTAGACAGAATCAGTTGGTGGGAAGGCCTACACAGGGAAATTTTTCTGGGAAGGAAACTTCCAGGCTGGAAATTGAGGGTTTGAACACTCTTTAGCTCTGTCCTGGTATGAGGGAAGTGGGAAGAGGAAGTGCCAGCAGGAGCTGGCAGTGTTAATAAGGAAAACTTTTACTGACTGCCCAATATTTCCTGACCCCTCTCGAAGAACTGAAGATTACAGGGACTTCTTGAAGCTTTTCGTTGGGGGCATCAGCTTGGGCACACAGATACCTATAATGGCATTTCTTCTTCAATTTGGTCATAGAAGTGCCTGGAGAAGTCAGGAAAATAGCCAGTTGTGGGTATCCTTTTAGGAGATTCCCAAGTCTACCCTTGATTCATAGCATGAGTTCCCAGAGTGTTTAATAGATCCCACTTTGAACTTTGACAGGTCCCACCAACAGTCCTGCCTAACATTCAGCTGCTGCTCCTACCAAACAACTCTTTGGGACTTGGGATGTTTTTAGCCTTGCAGGAGCTCCCTCAAGACTAGAAGGAGACTTGGTGACCTCCATTGAACAGCTGCAACCAGTTATCCCGGGGTCATCTGCAGACCCCGTTCTTATCAGCTCCTATAGAGGAAGTAAGATGGAAAATTAAGCATAGCCGCAGTAGAGATGGTCACCTTTGAAGCTTTAGCAGGGATGCTTCCAGGCTCCCAGCCTCCATTGCCCCCTTCGCTTCCACTCCATTTTCTTACCTAGCGGGGCTTGTGCCTTCCCACTGAGGCCTCTCTACTCTCCTCCCGTCATGACAGCACTTTGGTCTGCTTCTTATCCGAGGACTGAGATGAAATACTTCACCCCTTCCCTAGTTGAAGTTCCACTCTGAGCCTTGGTTCCTGGCTGCAAGTGAGGCTTGTAGGAAATTCCTGGGCCTGGTGTATCTTTATATAGATTCCCTGTAGACCAGTGAGACCAGGAATTCTCAGGTACTAGAATGATTCTGTGCCCTTTGAGTTCAGGATTATATGGCATCAAGGGGAAGGTAGATGACCTTTAGTGATCTTTCTGGCCTCTGAGAATTAGTGATTTTTCCAATTTTGGAATAGAAACAAGTGGGGCAATTTGAGCTTAAAGCATCATAATCTCAATGTAGTCAAATCATTTGAATTTACTAACCAAATTATATTTTAAACCTCAGGCTTCATAGAGGTACCTTAAAATGTCCAAAGACAATTATGGGAAATTTTGAGCTTCATTAATCTTTAAATGCTGCCAAGTTGATTACTTTGGTAGCCCATATCTCCTTGATATTCATTAGGGAGCACTTGGGTGTATTTCGGGGGTGGGTGCTGGCAAGGTAAGCAGGTGAGGTCGGTTCTTCCCAGAATCCTAGAAAATTCTCTCTGGTACCTAGGTCACAGTTCTGAAGACAGGAAGCAGCAGGAAGTAGCTCTTAGAACTGGTACCCCTCACCTTCCTTGCTAGATGTCCATCTCAAACGCAGAAAGTTTGGAAGACTGTTTTTGTCATTTGGTATTTCTCTGCCTGACTTGTTTGAGGAACAAATGTTTTCTGACCTTTCTATTTCCCTGCCCTGCACAGATCCCATCTGGTACAATTCTCTGTTCTTTAGCTCAAAGTGTCTATAGAATGACTGCTTAGTGCGTCAGCTCTCCTCACTCTTGTGCAATAGCAATATCTTTTCAGGTCGGGGACATGGAGGAGATGAACTGCATTACTTCCTCCCTCTGTTGCCAGGCCTCTGCATTAGCACTTTATCTGCTCAGTGTTTCTGGCTGTGTTGGGTTTATTTGTGAGATTGATGTAACAATAAAGTGAAATCTTACCCTGTATGTGTTTGTCTGACAAAGCATCTGTGTCAGGGCCCCTGGAGGGTGGGGAGGCCGGGAACAGCCTAACTGCTGCATTAGTGTTTGTCTCATAGGGTGTTCTGAACACAAGGCTTTGTTGTCCTCATTTCCTCTATTGCTACTGGCCTTCAGCTCTCCCTCTTACTGGCTGTATGTCCTCTGGCAAATTAATGAACCTCTCTGAGCTTGGTTTTGTAATCTGTAAGACAGCTCATAATAGGATGTACTTTACAATGTCAAGTGAGATAATCCATGTAAGGTGGTTTTGGCATATAGTATTCCCTCAAGGTTTTTTTTAAAAGTGATTTTATTTTCATTTATTTTTAGAAAGAGAAGAAGGGAGGGAGAAAATGAGACAAAGAGAAACATCAACTGGTTGCCTCCAGCACATCCCCATCTGGGGACCTGACCTAGAACCCACTCATGTGCCCTAACTGGTTCGAACCAGCAACCCTTTGGCTCGCAGGCCGGCACTCAATCCACCGAGCCACACCAGTGAGAGTGACAACCAACTTTTATGGTGGCTCATCAGTATGAGAACACTTCTAGAAAAGGAAATATTTATTTAGTTCAAACAAATAGAAGAGTTTTGGGAAGGGGAAGGGTTTACTGAACCTAAATATATAGTTAAAGCCATTATCTAAGTGATATTCCAAGTAAATGCATTCCACAGATGATAAAAACTTTGTTAATATTTTAAATATTTAAACAGTATGAGTAAATAGTCAACAAGTAATAACCTTTATGCCAGTGGTTATCATAATCTAGAATTAGGGTTCTATCGCTACTCAGATGACTGTCATTTCACCAGAAGGTTTTCTGTCTTATTTTTGTCCATTTATTCTACATATTAAAAATATAAAAAGACCCAACCTGACTCTTAAGCAGTGAAGGACAGAATCAAGATTCATAATCATCTTAATTGAATGATACCAACAATATTAAGTTTTAATGGAGTTAAAAAATACATTCTGACTTTCATTTTTAAAAATTTGTTGTGCTCGCACAGTGAGAGAGAACTTGGACTAAGAAAGGTTCATGTGAAAATGATGGTGTTTTAGTTGATTAATCTCTATGTGGCATTATTAAGGACTGTGTGGAGATGTCATTCATAAGCCAGGGATGTGTATATAATATGTAGAGCATCCAGAAAAGGACAATGGCAACATGTCTGTCCTTCAGAGCTGTCACGTGGAAAGTGTTTTCCTATCACAAGAAAGCAGGCACGTCCAGTAGGTGGAGCTTGTAGAGAGGCACATCCTGACGCGATTGGAGGGAAGCATCCACTCTGACTGTAGTTACAGTTACACTATATTCTGGGGACTATACTAACTCTCGCAAAGAAGGTAGTATTGTTTACTGTTTTGCAGAAGGAAAAGCTAAAGCTCAGAGTAGTATAAAGATGCAAGTATTTAACAACTTAAATGGAATGTTCTAAATTCTCTTTCACCAAAAGTGAAAGGTGGAATGATCATTTTGAAAAAGATTTCTGCATTGGGGAGAAGGTTAGATAAGGAGACCTACAAAGTCATTTCTAATGCCCAAATTGTATTAAATGACATTGTGAATCATATGTAGTTTCTTGTTGACTCATTGCCATCACTGCAAACATAGACTCATTAATTGTGAGCTTTTTACCCAGATTTGAAGGGTTGAGGTTACTGTTCTCAAGAAATCAGAAAGCTGAGACAAACCAGTCTGTGTGTGATAGCCCGGACTCCTCCGTGAGCTGTTGCCACTTCCTTCCGCGGTCAGTGCATCCTCAGCTATACTTTGCTGCTGTCTTATTTTATGCTCACTTAGCTGGCTGATGACTTAGTGGTAGCTGCTTCTCACATGGTGTCAAGCCTATAGGCATTGTGACAACTGTTTTCTCAAAGACCTTTTTAATTCAAGCATTGTGGTATGTTCTAGAAGTCTGGGCCTCTCAGATGCCTGACCAGAATGGAGGAAAATCTGGGTCTTTACCTGCTTTTAGGTACTGACTTGCCCAGAGGTTCTAGCAGCTTGGTGACTACAGGCCTTGTCCTTTCCTTCCAACATCCTTACATACTGTGTTGGGTATATGTCCCTAACCAGCACATTCCAGCCACCAAAGCCAAGGAGGGGGATTCAGTCCTGGCATTGCTTTTCCTGGAGACAGAGTAGCCTCCCAATTTGTAATCAATACAGAAAACCTCATTCTGCAGAGAGCCCAGGCACTCCAGTGTTCACATACTCAAACCCCATCAGTTGCCTTGAACAGGAGAAACAGGTTGGGAAGAGGGAGCGTGGTTGATCTAGTAGAGATACTTGTGTTTGCCAGAGGAGACACTTGGAGGGGCGAGGGAGTGGGGACATGTAATCTTCTGTACTGTGATTCCAGATAACAGGAATTTAACTTTGTTTTCATCATTTGGCAAACTAATGTTGGGTATCTTAGGATTTTATTGTTGGGAACCAACCTGCCTGGTTTCAGAAACTGTAACCCCCTCCCCCCCCCATGGCTATGGCTGAGTGAGACCCTAAGCCACTAAGGAGACAAAGCTTATCTCCCTGGCAGGAGCACTGCCTCTGTTCACTTTACTTCACCCTGCCTGGCTCCCAGTGTATGACTGGTTAGCCAATGACAGGTAAGATTCCTCTAAGGAGAGATGACCTAAGACAGGCACAGTCATGAGGGGGCCCTCTGGGAAGGATTTGGGAGCTATGGAGAAAGGGGGTGATGGACCCTCACCCCTTGTCTTTGACATGGCCTGAGTCCTCATTCTGTCTGCCAGAAGTCTCCTAATCTCTTGGCTGACTTACTTTCCCTGCTTGACCTAAGCCTGAAACCATGCTGGAGGTAGGCGTGGCCCTGTGCTGGAAAGGGTAGGTTCCCTAGGGTGATCAGGCCTAAGAAAGAATGCACAAAATCCTGTGAAACCCGCTTTGCTAATACCCTCAATTTAAATGATAAGGGTCCAAGCATGAAAGGAGCTTGTTTCCCCAAAGTTTTATGGCTCTTTAGCTATCTGACCCTGACCCAAAATAAGCCCATAGAGTTCTATTGTTTAATCATTTCTGCCTGATAATGACGATGAGCTTTAGGTATACACCCTGTATTCCTGTGCAAACTGAACCCAATAAAAGCTTGTCAAGGCAAGGGTTGGGGCACTCTCGAGAGAGTGGTTGAGGTGCTCCTAGGTGCTATCCCCTTGAGAGAGTGGCTGTGCTGTCCCTTTTTGTCTACAGGACTCAGTAATTCGTGAGAATTTGTCTCGTCTCATCCACAATGCCACAGACACTGCTGGCCAATGTCTGCATCAGTTATGAAATTCTGGACTCCTAGATATGCTGGATGACCTTATTCTTTGGGGGGCTGATATAGTGGTTCTTATCTTACTTATTTTTAACATGGGTAATGACATGAGAATTGGGTGCTGAGGAAGCAATTACTCTGTTTTGAAAGTTCTATAGAAACTATTCCCCACATATCTGAATTCGTAACAGTATCTCGGTGGTATATATGAACTAGCTGGGGGAACATTAAAGGGAACAGTTTTCATAAGGACCAATTAGACCTCTAGGGTGTGTGAAGAGGGCCTGTTCAAAGCTCTGAAGAAGGGAGGCCAGAGAGGAGAGTTTCCAGCTGTGTGTGTCCCATGGAGAATGGAATTTCAGAAATGGTTAAGACTCAGTATGAGCAGGTAAGGGGTGAGGGGAAGGGCAGGAATTGAAAAGAGTGACAATTAAAAGAAGGAAACATGGGGTGCAAATCCCAGCTTCAGCCTAAGTTGACTCCACCACTGGGATTCAGAGCTTTCTGTGTATGACAGAAGGGCGGGCCAGTCAGGAGCCGTATGTTTGAGGAGCTGAGAAGCATCCTGAAAAGACTGAGTCAATGTCAGTCTCTAACACCTCCTTCCACATTCTCGATGCTGACGTTGCTTTCTACTCCATTCGTGAAATCACCAGAACATTCCCCACTCCCACCACATCTACCCTCTAACCGGCATCTATGTGCAGCTATTCCACTTTTGCCTTCTATTATTGTGCTACCATAGCACAGTATATCCAAACACTGTGCAACTTATTGTCTGTCTTCCCCTCTAGAATCTCAGTTCTGAAAGGATAAATCCCAGAAGAGATCGCTAAAAAATAAGAAAGAAGTCTCTGGGGAGCAGAAATTGATTGTGAGAGGGCAGGGTTTGCTGTGAAATACTATTTTACTTTTTTAATGTTTTATACTCATAAATAAAAATGAATAAAAGTAACGTAGTATTTCATTTATTTGAAAATTTTGGGGCTCCGAAAGGATGGACTGTTTTCCTTAAGACACTGGGAAATCAACAATACTGATTTGGCACTCCTCTGAAAGAAACTTTAAAAGTTCTCTCTGCTTTGGTACTAAATTTTGGGTTGCTTTGTTGGTTTGGGGGCTGCAGTAACTTGTCAGCAATAGAGACACCCAAATCTCTAGGAACAGAGAGATAATATTCTGACCTCATACATTGTTGTCATGGTGGGCACTGGCAAGTGATGGCGTGGTACATGTCTGTAGCTTTACAGGCAGCAGAGGACAGAAATCTAACTAAAGGAGACAAGTAGATGGGAACATCCTGGCAATGCACACGGTAAAGGAGAGAGCTCATCAGAGAGGATGTTCCCAAACATGCTCAGAAGTAATTGGAAGAACTGTGTGTGTGTGTCCTGCTAGAGGCACCATCCAAGGACACAGTGATCACTGATGCTATGCACCACTCCATCTGTTCTCCTGCCCCAGTGTGGCCTGGGAAAGTGCTGGGTAAATCAGCAAGGATCAGGTAGAGAAAATAGAAAGAGGCATGCAGGGAGCTATTTGATCACTGGAGGGGAAAGGCTCTCAGAGCTAGCAAAACCTCGGTCCCAGATACATAAATTGTCACTGCCTCTTGTCCAACTTTCACAATTAAATTTAGAGAAGGCTCTTTTTAATCTCCTGACCATCCCCCACCAGAGAATTTTTCAGGTCTCAGGAAGAAGTGAGAGGGCCTCGCCAGACCTGTGCCACTCCTTAAAAGGAACGAAGTGGGGAAACCTAGTCACAGGAAAACAAGGAAAGGGGAGGGGAAAGAGTGGACACCGACAAAGGCCTATCTTGCCTGTAAATAGAACAACTCCGATGGGACAGAAGGACCTAGGAAGAGCCTAGGCCAGAAATCTCCCCTCTCCTGCCTGTTGTGGTGCCCCAGAGCCCCTGTGGACTTCTTTGGGCATCTCAGTTTCTTCCTGTCATGGTCAGAAAGAAATCAAGTGGAGATTCAAGAAACAGGTCCCCACAAACATTTATTGGTTTTTACTATACCCCAGTCTCCAGGTACAAGGATAATAGACAAGGCAAGATCCCTGCCCTCAGAGATCAAATATTTTGGTGGAGATTGGGAATATAGAGGCAGATATGAAAACAATAATTTTACTGTAATGGGCAAAATTAGAAAAGAGATCTACACAAATGCAGAAAGGAGGGCACTTAAATCAGGGAAGGCTTTCTAGCTTAAGATAACCCCTGACCTAAGGGAGGAGTTATTTAGATATGAACAGGGCAAAACAAGAGGGACTGACCCCTCCAGTCCTACTGCATCACCTAAAATTGCACCTCCCAAACCCTTGGCTCTAGCTATGCAAGTACCTGCCCATCATCTCTGCCTCCTTACCAGGCTTCTTCATTCAGTCTCCAGACAGGCAACCATCTTATGGTCACACTCCACTTACTCACGCTGTTGCTGGACAGGGAACCTGGCCCTGAGCAGGTCTGCTTAGGGTCAGCCAGCAGTGTGCAGGTTCTTCTTGACTTCACGAAGGAAAGATTTCACAACACAAGTGGAGGTGACTAGGAGGGTACGTTTATTAAAAGCTGGGGACAGTAAAACAAGAAAGAGCTTAGTATAGAAGCAACAGAAGAGCCCAGGCTGAGCTGCTGTAGCCCACTGGGAAGTCAAGGAAAAGAGGGCGTTGGAGACAGGTTCAGGGGATTTGCTTGGGAAGAGCTGCTGCTGCCCATCATTCCCCTGGTCTCATGGGCACTCTTGGAGTCTAGAACATGCATGCCTCTCGGGGAAGGGGGAAAAGGGGGAAAGGGAATGGCGCAGGGAGAGCAGGTGCTGGGCTTTTATTTCTCTCCTGCAGGCAGGAACCTTAGGGGAGGTCTCAAGGGATGGTTTCAACAGAATATTCATGTTTTCCAGGTGTGCCTTTTCAGGCTTATGGTCTCCACTGATTGGTCGGTGTCAGTGCAGGGGGTCCTTAGTCATTACAGCTGGTCCTGGTGTTGCCCACCTGCTTTTGCTGCTTTTCTGGGCCTGGAGCTGAAATACAACTGAGGCCTAAATGCTATCTCAAGGGAGGTGACCTGCATCTGGCTGTAAATGGCTCGGCCAGTTTATTCAGCTGTCTGTCTCAGCTTCCCTATTCCACTTGTCCTGGCTTCCTGGCCTGTCTCAGTGGCAGCCTCATTCTAACAGTGATGCCCAATATAAGTACTAATTTTCTAATGGCTACATTTGTGAAAAAAGAAATAAGTGAAATTATTTTAATAATATAATATATCTAAAACATTTCAACCTTAATATAAAAACACTGAGATTTTCTTTTTGTACTCGGCCTTTGAAATCTATGTATATTTTACACTTACAGAATATCTCAATTCAAACTAGCCACATTTCAAGTGCTTAATTGCCACATGTGGCTAGTGGCTACCGTACTAGACAGTTTCAAGTTCTGCCTAGACAGAGTGTACTCGGTGTTTCTGCATTGAACAGAGGCCTGTCAGACTATAGCATTACTATATATTCCCCCTACCCCCAAGATCAATTTTGAAGAGAAAGCCCATGAGGATTCAGCTAGACACTGGACACTCCCTTTAGATACCAGACCTAGACTATTAAACCTAAATTGATCCCAAAGTTGTTGATGAGTCAGCTTTTAGCAATCGGATCTGTAGTGCCTCACAGTCAAGACACATTTGACCCCCGGTATCTTCAGGTTGTTCTCTGGCCAGCAGAACACCCACTACGAAGACTTGAGATTTCACTAATGTGACGGCATCTTCATAAGGCAGCCTGGAGGAGCCTGGGTGAATGTAAGGTCATCTAGTTCTGACCATCTGGTTCTGGTTGAGACTGGGCACCACCTGGCGGCTGGGACTTAAAGGGTCTCCTTCCGGTCTTAGATTCTAGCATCAAGAATCATAGCAGAAAAATAACATAAAATGCTGTTATTTAAAACATTTCCACAAATAGACCACCTTTTAAAAATGTTTATGAAACAAACACAGGAGCACAATTTGGAATCCATAAATAAAATCTCCTCATTTGAGCCAAGAACCAGAGGCCCAGAAAAGGGATATTTTGGTCAAAGTCACCAGCAAATCCGTAGTGGTTGTGATGAGTTCTATATCCTTTACTGTACCCACTAACTGAAAAATATTTTAACTGCGGACACTGCGCCATTTCAAGAGTCCTCCTAAATTACCTGCGGAGGAGGAACGGCACTGGGAAGACTGGTTAGCTCTCCCCTAAACTTAAGAGCCCGACCGCTATGCCACCCTCTGGAGTGCTAGGCAGAGAAAAAGAGGCAGCAGGGTGGACCTTGGCGGCTAGCCCCGGCGGGAGGCAAGCAGGGAGACCACACGGCGCAGGCAGCTCCCAGAGACTGTTAAAAACCTTGCGGGGAATGGCGTTCGGGAGGCGCAAGGTGGCCAGTTATTCCCCAAAGTGCGAACACTACCACCAGCCTTCCGTCTGGGGCGCGCCGCCCGGGGAGGGATAATCGGCCAGTCCCACACCCCGCTCCACGCCTGCGCCGCCGCGAGCGGCCGCCCCTTCTGCAGCCCCTGCAGCTGAGGCTCGCTGCGGCCCCGCAGGGGTCGCAGGTCCCCCTCTGACAACCCAGACCATTTCTCCACGGGCAGGAGAACTTCCCCGCGCCCGCTGCTTCTGCGCCCAAGAAAGAAATCCTAGCGCCTCGAAGCTTTGCTGGGCCGAGGCTGTCCCCTAAAAGAGGGCCCCTTTGGTTCCCCGGCCCGAGAGAGGTCCTTGCGAGCGCCAGGACCGCGCAGCCTCGGACCCTTCGTATCCGGAACAGTTTCCGGGGCGGATGCTTTTCGCAGCTGACCCGGCGCGGTCGGTGACGCCAAACCCAGGCGGAAGTGCAGGCGGAGGAGCCCGAACCGGAGGGGTTCGCGGCGGGCTCCGGGCCTTGAGGGCTGCTGGGTTTGGCGGCAATGGCGACTCTGTGGGGAGGCCTCCTGCGTCTTGGCTCCTTGCTCAGCGTGTCCTGCCTGGCGCTGTCCGTGCTGCTGCTGGTGCAGATGTCAGATGCCGCCAAGGTGAGTGTCGCCAAACCTGCGCTGCGGTCTGTAGCTCCTCCTCTGCCCCCGCTTGGCGGGGGTCTCTCAGCCTGCGGCTCGCCCCATTCCTCTCTAGTCCCGATCGTCCGACTCCTCGCTTTACAGCCCTGGCTGCCCGCAACGCAGTACTTTCCCTACTGCCCGATAGCCCTCCACCCCCAGCCCTGACACCCCGCCCTCCCTTACCTCCACCCAGTGCCTGACAGTGCTGTTTGGACAGCAACTCCTCCTCCTCGTTGGCATTTCCCTGCCCTGCCCCGACAGCCCCCACCCCAAACCGTGTAATCTTTCCAATTCTGGGAGCCTGTAACTTGAACTTTCCACCCTGAAGCTCTGACAGCCTACCAACACCCTCCACCAGCCTCGCAGACCACCACCCCGCCCCCATTCCCCAGGCGAAAATGATGGAGAGCCCCCATCTCACATAAGTCTTCCCTCTTAGGAGCTAACTCCTTTGAACTCATCCCTGAGCAGATTCCCTCACCATTGCGGAAAGCTGTCTCTTCTGGCAGCCTTCCTTCCCAATAGGACTTCCGGAGTCCTCACCAACCTAATATCCTCACCTAACTCCCTCCAGGACCTCTTGACCCCTTTCTTGCCTCCCCTCTAACTTATAATTCAGTGAGTAAGGGAGGATCCAAACTACAGGAATATGAGGCTGTGGTCTTTCCCTTGCTCCACTTCTTGGCTCTTCTGGTCCCCTGATGCTGCTTTCTAGTCCCCTTTGTCTGCCTGCGCTCCAGACCTGCCCTGGCCCGCTACATCTGTGCTTCCTCCTTGATGAGCTAGCACGTTATTGGGGAAAATAGAAGGAATTCATATTAGTGAGGTGGGAAAACAAAATGACATTTGCATTTTTTTAAAAAATAGGAGCTTTAATCTTTAACATTTTTTATATGAGGATGAGAAGAGAGACATTGATTTGTCGTTCTACTTATTTATGCATTCATCGTTGGGTTCTTATATGTGCTCTGATCGAACCCACAACCTTGACATATCTGGACAGTGCTCTAACCAACTGAGCTACCCAGCCAGGGCCTCTGTAATATCTTTAAATATAAAGTCTGGGAAAAACAATTTATAGGCAGACAGATCAGGGGGTTTTGATTGGGGTTCTTGATCAGGGATTTTTTTGGAAATCTTCCCTACCTCCCACCAAAAACAGGGATAGTAGCAAGTCTCCTGACTTTCAAAACATTGTTGTCACCCTCTGCATATCTCTTGTCATCATTTTACACAGTGTATTGTGATCATTTATTTGTCAGTCTCCTTTATTAGGGCGTGTCCTAATTATAGGCAGGAACCATGTCTTGCACTTATCTGAATCAACCACGTTGAGCACAAGGTCTGGCACAGAGCAAATGCTCACTAAATGGTTGCTGAATGACATGTCATATACAAGAGCAGGGGCCTGGTCCTCTGAGACTAATGGGCCACTGCCTTCTCAGGTAGATTTCCCTTTGCTGAGGAAGTATCTCCTTCTTGTATTAGTCACATATTCCTCCACCTTTTGAAATTTGCTTCATCCGTGGCTGTCCTCTCTGTCTGCCAGGGATTAGAAGCAGTTTCCTGTGGAGGGTAGACCAAACTGATCTCAGCTGGACTCAAGCTACTCGCTTTAAGTACTTTCTAATTGTAGCTGAGTGCCTCTAAAACTACATCCCTTCTATAGGATAGGACTCTGGCCTAACCCCTTTCATCCATATCAATTAATGCCTGTCTATCTAAGCATGAGAGAATGGTGGATAGAGGAAGTGTGACTTGTTTTTGAGTAATTTTTAATTTGATTCTTGCCCATCCTTTTATAATCAACATTCTTATTTGCAAGCGCAGCTATCCATGTACTGTGTACTATTGCCAGATAGGTGGTGATAACATTAGCACAATTTGTTTTCTGATCCATAATGTGATTAATAAGTTATATATCCTGTACTATGTATTAAAGTTTTTGAAAGTTTTAAGTGAATGGTTTTATAATACTTGGCAGGCAGTGCTTAACCAAATGTACTATATTTTGCCATGTGTAATGCACTCCAGTGCATAATATGTACCCACGTTTTTGGCCCAAACTTTCAGGGAAAAAACATCTTTCATTTTGATTTTTTAATTCAGTCTTTTATTTATATTTAGAAACCCAAACGATTATAGTATTCCAGGGTATTATTTTGCATACAGGCACCATTATTGCTTTCTAGAGTTAGCCTTTTAATGCATAAACATAAATAAAAGACTTAAGAACACTTGTGTAGATAAAGAATTAATACTGCCCATATATAATGTACATCTTTATTTTTTCCCTCAAAAATTTGGGCAAAAAAGTATGCATTATACACAGCAAAATATGGTATACAATGCAGTTTTTAAAAATATTGACGATAGACTATCAATAAGCTATATACCACGTTTCCATTTTGGTTACAGAATTCCGGGGATGTCCGGTGTAAATGTATTTGTCCTCCCTATAAAGATATTCCGGGGCATATTTATAATAGGAACATATCCCAAAAAGATTGGTAAGTATTCTGGATTACTTAATTACCTGTCAGATTTCTTTCTGTGGTTGTCACTGTTAGCTCAGAATGTTCATCCAATGTATTGTTTTCTTTTTAAGTGTTTCTTCTAAGCAAAAGTGTCAAATTCCATTTCCCTGTGAAAAAGGGAGAGAAAGGCCCTGGGTGCATGATGTAAACCTAAAGGAGTAGGGCCAAACACTAAGCCCCAGGTAGGGTGGGCTTTCTCGAGATTGGGCTGAGTTTGTGCCACCTGCTCTAGTTTCCTTTGCCCCCTTAAATTTTGGCCCGCCCTCTTTTCAGTGAAAGGTAAGCAAGCCTCATTTATCTGGGTTATACTTTTTACAAGTTATAGGTTTTGACACCATATTGCCAAATATAGTAGACTGTGTTTAAAAGTGTCAGAGGCTCAGGAAGGAACAGGAATGAATCACGGATATCAGTTTCCCAGTTGGTATGCCGGGAATAGGCTATAGGTGTGATAAGCTATTGATCCATCCAGGCCTCAGGGTGATCAGGCAGGCCTCTGATGACTGGGATCTTGATTGGCTTGCCACCAGCAGCCCTTTCTGTCCATCTCAGGAGACCTTATAAATGTGCCATAAAATGGTTGGGAAGCAGCTATTTTGTTGCAGGATGGATGGGCTCCTTCCCATGGAACTGTAACGTGTTCATGGTTTGTGACCATAGTGGACGAACACCAGGATAGGCATAGGAGAAAAATACCTCCAAATGCTGTTTACTTTCACGTGTGCTTGATTTCACAGCCAAACAGCCTGCAAAGGTTTGAAAGCAAAATTAAATTCATTTGGTTACTGTATTCCCAGCAGCCTTTGAAAAAGAAAAGGCAGTCTTTGAGCATGTTTAGTTTTTCTAATGTTATTGTCTATTCCCATTTTGGTTTAATCTGATATTGATAAGTATGTTCTTGAGAACTTCCTGCGAACTTCCACATTCCACTTAAATGGTCTCTATATTACAAAGTGATTTATCTATATTTTTATAGGTCTTATATCAGCAAGTTATTTGATATGACACAAGAAAGCTCAAATAAGTTTTGAAGTTATTCCTATAAATTTTCAAAATATATCGAGCACTTATAGTTCATTCTCTTAACAGTAATAACATATGTTATCTATTATTTGAGTGGCAGATGAAGTCGCTATTCGAGTGGTTAGCACTAATCTTTTCATTGACTTTTTGTTATTCCAGGTTCAGACAGAACCACATGTCATCATTCATTCATCCCTGGTTATTGGTCAAAATGAGCAGTTGAAAATAAGGCATGTTTGGGATATTTCTTCCCTCTCTCCCTGCTTTCTTCCTGCAGTTTAGCCATTTACTGAAGATAGGTTCCCAGTTGTCACTGAAAGTTTTTGACTGGCAGAAGGGTAGGCAAGTTATGTTATGGCTTCATGAGGCCTGCAATATCTGGCCCTACCTGTATCTTTACCTTCTGGACTCCATTTTGTCTAGTTGTTAGCTTTAATTCTTCATTGACTTAGGCTGTGTGACTTAAGAAAAGTTTGAGTTCTCTGGTTTGTGTTTAGGGTGTGATTTAAGGAGAAACATGTTCTCCCTTTGGCACTAGGGGGAGGTGTTGCCTAGTTCCTAAAGGGGTTGAGTTCTGTATCTGGGCTCTGGGCTCCGACTGGCCAGTCAGACCAACCTTTCTGCTTCCTCTCCCACCCTGCAAAACTTCTGCACAACACTCGAAATCTCTTCGTTATTAAACTGTATTTTTTCTTCAGAAGAAACACTCAGTACCCAGTACTTAGATTCTTAAGTAATTCTTATGTAGTATTACTAAGGCTTCTGAAGCAGAAATAGGAAACTAAATGGGAGGTGAGTCTCATTTTCCTGAAGTTCAGAGAGATACATGGGGGCTGACCAAGGAGGCAGGAGCCCTGGATTCTCATCCTTTTACCTAATAATTTACTCTGTGACCTTGTTGTGCAGGTGACCTCTCTGAGGGTGTTGGGCTGGATGAGCTCTATGATTCTGAGATAGATACTGCTGTAATGAGGTTTAACTTTCTCTGCCCATTTTATGCTTGCATCCAGCTGGCTACCTCCCTGGTCTCGTATAGGTTTAGAACAGATATCACATACTTGTATGGTGTGAGTTGTGGGACCTTACCCTTATTTGACATTCTACCATTGGAGACTTATGTTTTCATTATATACTGCCTTTGTTTAAATTACCTGCTCAGTATAACTGATTGAACTTTTATCATTTATGTTATTTTGGGTTTTCTTCTTATGCCACAGCACAGAAGGAATGAAACCAAAAAAAAGAAAGTATATTTTGGTAGAGCAACAGGAAAGAATCAGCTTAGAGCATTGGGTGCCCCCAAGAAGGGCAGGTAGAGTGAGACAGGAAGCTGTCAGAGTTTGTGTAGCCATAAATGCCTAAGGAAGAGATGACAAAAGGGAAGAAAATTGCCCCCAGAAGGCAGGGAGAAAGAAAAGTTTCCCTACTTTTGCTGAAGGTGATCAGAGAAATGGGCTCTTATTAGCTAAGGGTAGTAATAATTATTTCCTAAAATTGACAGAATTCTGAGAAAAGATTTTTTATGGAATTGTGTTTTCATAAGCCATAGATAAGTAGCCTAGAAACTGGGGAAAAAATAAACAAAAACATCCAACAACAAAACATTCAGCCTTTTATTTTTGATATGAGGTCCATCCAGAAAAACCCCAGCCATTGGTAATATGATGAGAGTGGTTTGTGCAACATCAGTGTAACCTGGCAGCCAAGGAGAGTGGACTGGAATGTGCATGTGTGAACAATGACGACTTCACTGTACTTGTCAGTGGGGGTGATAGATGCCATTGAGTGGGCATGTGTACTGTGTGGCCGTCTCATTCGGAATGATGGAGTGAGTAGAGCAACGAATCTGCACCAAATTTTTTAAAAAGTTTTATTTATTTATCTTTAGAGGAGAAGGGAAGGAAAGAGGGAGAGAAATAACAATGTATGGTTGCCTCTCATGCGTCCCTTGCTGGGAACTGGCCTGCAGCCCAGGCACGTGCCCTGACTGGGAATTGAACCGCCATTACTTGGTTCGCAGGCCCACGCTCAATCCACTGAGCTACACCAGCCAGGGCGAATCTGCACCAAATTTTATGTTAAGCTTGAACATGCCTCTGTGGAAACTCTTGGGATGATTTAGAAGGCCGCAGCTATGGGCAACTGGTGAATGGCAGCTTCATAATGACAGTGCACCTGCTCGTGCATCACCTCGCTTGCAGAGTTTTTGGAAAAATATCAAATTACCCAGGTGACTCAGCCCCCCTACAGCCCACATTTGGCACCCTGAGCTTCTGGCTTTTTCCAAAAGTAAAAGTATCTTTGAAAGGGAAGAGATTTCACAGACTGTTGATGAGATTCAGGAAAATGCAACAGGGCAGCTGATGGTGACTGGAAGACCTGTGTGAGGTCCCAAGGGGCCTACTTTGAAGGGGACTGAGATCTCATTGTCCTGTGTACAATGTTTCTGTATCTTCTGTCTTCTTTAATAAGTGTCTGTTTTTCATATTACATGGCTGGTTACCTTCTGGACAGACCTCTGCTTCCAAGTAATCAGTTTTCACTTAAAAATATTTATATTGTTCTAGTCCTCCTTCTCCATGCTTTTTCAATAGACTTTTGCTCATTAAAACAAGTAATTATTTCTTATTGTAGTTTCGAATGTTCAGATTTCAGAGTTTCAGAATTTACCAACTGTTAAGTGTGATTAGGCATTCATATATACCACACTGTGGCAATTAAGAATGATGTTACTTAATTCATAAAAGAGATCATCTCATATTTGAACAATGCCCGGGTCACTTTAAATCATTTAAAGCAGTTTTGCTGAACAGGTTTGAATATGACTCAGTCTGCTAAGTAGTTTTTGATCCTATTTGGGACTTTTTAGTTACATTTTAAACATGAGCACCTTTGAAAATAGTTACTACATATGTCTTGATGGCTTCTTAGACTCTTAAATGTTACCAAATTGCTGGTATGAAGAGAGAAAGTGGTTTTACTTCCCTTATTTGTTTCTTATATATTCTTTCATTGGGGAAGTTCAAGAACTATTCTGGATTCCAAGAAAGTTTTGAGTAGAAAATCCCGTTAGGCTTGAGCTGTACTTTACCCTTGTGTTTCCCAGCGACTGCCTTCACGTGGTGGAGCTCATGTCCGTGCGGGAGCCTGACATAGAAGCTTACTGTCTGCGCTGTGAGTGCAAATACGAGGAGAGAAGCTCGGTGACGATCAAGGTAAAAAAAAAAATCAGTTCTTTCTGCTTCTGGAATAGTTCTTGATGGTATTGAGACAAGAAAGAAAATTTGTCAAACAAATTTTATTTTAGTTATTTAAACTACTGCTCTTCCCCACCCCCTTGCCCCCTCTTTCCAATCTCCAACCTTCACCCCAAAAGAAACAATGGGCCTGCTCTCCTCCTGCCTCGTTGAGATGCTTTATGGATTAGTCAAGGTAGGATGTGTGAATAGCACAAAAATGCCCTATATGTAATTAGCGTGTCCCAGAAAAATATCCCGTCTTCTCTATGGATCATGCGTGCCGACGGATAGTGAGAGCGGCACAATTAGGCCCTCGTTCTACCCTGTCAGCCCTTAGAAAAAATTATGTAGATAGTGACTGTTCTCTTCTAGAAACATGACTTCTGGATTTTAAGATTTGCTTTCTTTATTTGCCGTAAGAAATGGGAGGTAGATCATTTTGATCACCATTTTGACCTCTAATGCGTTCAGTTACGTTATTGTGGTTCTTTTCCCCAATTTGTTTTTATATGGAGCTTCCTATTTCTTTCCCAAAAAGATGCCTCATGGGGAATCTGGGCGTGGTCAGCTGTAACAGTTACGAAGATTTCTGTTGTGGTTGACTCTGTCAGCAAATGAATTAAGATCTCAAGAAAATCACTAGGCTATACCATATTTTTATACATCTAAAATAATCTGGAAGAGTATTCCTTTGAAGTCCTTCTGCATACATTTCTGTTAGGGTTCCTTTACATTGTCTTCACAGCGCTAGGACATCGTACTCAGGTGATGTTAGTGCGATCAGTGGTGACAAATGACTAGCGGTGAGTGAAGATGAAGTTCTGGAGCCTCACAAAAAGATCCCAAAGACAGAGGCCGCCTTTCCTTTTTTCTTTACTACTTTGGTGAAGAGCTGAGTTGGTAGGTTTGTATAGAAATCCTTTATGCGTAGCAGATAGATCAGTCTTCACTATGGCTTTACTACTATATAAAATTCTAATTTCTCGGCTTGAACAGAGATGTAACTTATTTCCAATTTCCTTTAGGTTACCATTATAATTTATCTGTCCATTTTGGGCCTTCTCCTTCTGTACATGGTGTACCTTACTCTGGTGGAGCCCATCCTGAAGAGACGCCTGTTTGGACACTCACAGCTAATACAGAGCGATGACGATGTTGGGGTAAGTTCTCAGCCACACATGATGATGGCCTTTGGCATCATCGAGGTGTAATACAGATGTCCATGTGCTGGAGCAGATCATCAACTAGAGAAGCTGAAGACAACTCTAAATTTAGCATTCGTTTCTTTACGAGGAAATTGCTTTGGAAAGCCATAAATATGGTGGCTTCAACTGATGGTCCTGAGTGAGTGTGTTATACAAGGTCTTGCTCTTCAGTACCCAGGGCAGAGTTTCATTGCCTTTGCCTGTTTACATTGAGAAAAGCATCTGAGACAGTTTCCTCCCCAAGCTCCTGCCTGGACACCTTCCTGTCAGCATCACCAAATATCTTAGGAGATAAAGAGGCTTTAGTGAAGAAAAGCATAAAGACTGTACTGTTCTTTTTTTTTTTTTTTTAATTTTTAAAAATTTTATCTTTAGAGGGGAAGGGAAAGAGAGAGGGAGAGAAATATCAATGTATGGTTGCCTCTCGCTCGTCCGCTGCTGGGAACTGGCCTGCAACCCAGGCATGTGCCCTGACTGGGAATCAAATTGCAATCCTTTGGTTTGCAGGCCCGCGCACAATCCACTGAGCTACACCAGCCAGGGCCTGTACTGTACTTTTCTTAATGAAGTGCAGCTTGATAACCTGCTGATGTTCCATATATCCTGTTACCCTTTTTAAAACAAACCTGTGGTCTTGATCTCTATAGAAAAATAAAACCATCACTCCAGATTATGTTCCTGTCTTTAAGATACATTTGTATTTTTACATATAGTTGGTATAATCAGTGCATAAATTGCTTTGTGGCCTGCTTTTTGTATTAACATTACTTCATTAAAAAATGTCCAGAAATTGATGTAGTCCACAAACTTGTTACTTAATTTAGCATAGAGAAGTATGCTGTTTGTTTTGTCATTATTGTGTTTAGGCTTGTTTTCAAATTTTCATTATATATATAATTTTTTATAAATTACTTTTGCTCTGGCTGGTGTGGCTCAGTGGATTGAGTGCTGGCCTACCAACCAAAGGTAGGTTCCATTCCCAATCAGGGCATGTGCCTGGGTTGCAGGCCCTAGTTAGGGCCACATGAGGTGCAACCACACGTTGATGTTTCTCTTCCTCTTTCTCCCTCCCATCCCCTCTGTCTAAAAATAAATAAATAAAATCTTTAAAAAGTAGAAAATTACTTTTTTATCTTGGATTACTTTATTGGACTATGTTCCTCTAAGTGGATAAAATTCAGTCGAGTTTCAAGAACCAGTTCCAAAACTAAAGCCAGGGTGAACCTTGCTAACCACAGTCAGAAGTCCTTTTACTCTTAAATGGCCTGTGGACCTTTTGGTAAAAGATGGGAAAGGGGGTCCTGATGGATGGCCTGACTTATAACTATAAATGGAGTCTGCCTTTTGATCAATATGTTGTTGTGTCATGTATATCAGTTATGAGTATTCAACTTATTTGGGGAAGATTTTTTTTTGTCAAGAGCTTTGATAGAAATACCTCTATTTACCTCTTTATCCCTTGTTTCTTTTATACATTTATCCAGTATGAAATGAGTAACTTTTCATTATCAGGTACTGTGCTGGATATGAGCAATAAAGAGATGAATAGAACAGAAACAGACCTGTCCAAGAAATGACAAATAATAGTTTGCTTACTCCTTTTATTTTTAATGATATAAGAATGCCTATCTATTTTTTTTTGTTGGGGGTTGTGTGTTTCCTTCTTCCTTGCTCTGCTTTGGGGGGGCAGTCCTTTGTGCTTTTTTGTCTTTCTACTGAAGAATTTCAGGAGGAGACTTCACAGGCTGGGATAAAGGTTAAGACTAGGGTCTGGAGTGGTCAAAAATCAGACATAGTGGGGCGAATGGGGTGAGAGAGGTAGAAGGACAGGGGGTTATGCACCAGGCGCATGAGAGACTCGGGTGTGGTTCCCTTGCTGATTCACACATGACAGGGTTTTCTCAGCCTCTCCAGTGCTGACCCTTTGGGTTGGGTAAGTGTTTGCTTACCGAACCCCTGTAGGGGCTGCCCTGTTCATTCGTAAGATATTTAGCAGCATCCCTGGCCTCAACCCACTAGGTGTCAATAGCATCTTCATCCCAATCATGACAATCAGAAGTGTCTACAGACATTGTCAGGTGTTCCTGGGGAGCAAGATCACCCCCAGTTGAGAACTACTAACATGAAAATGTCATGTATCAAAGGCCGTATAAACCATTTCATTGTAAGGCACATAGATAAAAAGTCTGACTTAAATTACATCACAGCATTAAACATTTGGTTCCTGATTTTAAGAATAGATAATATCAATGTAATACACAGATAACATAAAAGAAATGGATGCACAGATGTGTAGATAAAAACATGTAGGAAAGACATTTGATTGGTGGGATCATGTGCTCGGTGACCTCTTCACTCACCAGTGACTGCTCCTGTGTGTAAGTTGACCATTTGAGGACACTGTTTTCGGGAGGCCTGCCTGAGTCTTGGATATCTAGTAAACTGACTGTGGGCAGAGACAGGTTTTCAGACCAGAGCCATGAACTGATGGCAACAATTCTGTATAAAAAGAAGTTAAATTAAAATTTCTACAGTTGTTAGCTAAGATAAGAGCACTTTACTACTAATGTGCTTTAAAAAGTACTTTTGTTAAATTCTAAGTTAAATTGTTTTAATTTTTTAGATTTTGTTCAGCGTAGACCGTTTTAAATTGAGAGTTAGTACAAGTAGTTAAGAAGCTTGTTGTAAGCAGTCACAGTATTTACTGTATTATATATCCATGACACATCATTGCTATTATCAAAGCATTACATTAAAACATGTTTTGTATTTATTGTAATTTTATCAGGTGTAAAAAGAACAAACATAAAAAGGTTAACTCTATTTGCATTCTTCCCACATTCATGACCGTAAGCGACTAGTTCAGTCCGGTTCTGATAGGTGGAGAGCTGAAAGGATTACTGGTTTGTTTAGTCCTTTAACTTTGTTGCTTAAGAAGATGTTTCTCCCCCTACCTTGAAGAGTAAGTAGCAGGACTGTGAAATGGAGAAGTACTCTACCAATCAAGTACATCCTTCTTTCCAGTCTTGTTTATGTCAAAACAAACCAGTGGTAATAATATTTTATATACAAGTTCATCACCATATTCCTATAGTGTCATTTTAATCTACCTGAACAAAATCAGTGTGTTTAGACAATATGACACCAAGTCAGGGTTAGGTGAGCCAAGTCTTGGTGTTTGTGCCAGCAAGTTAGGTGACCTTGGATCAGCTTATTTCCTCATGGGGAACCAAGGAAGCCAACAAATTCAGCCTTCCTCTTTCTTCACTTTTTTCACTTCTCTTTATTTCTTATATCTTTGATACATTTTAACTTTATGAAATTGTTTTTACTGTTTTCACTTGAAGATTAAAAATAAGAAAATAGGGTTTGCACGACTGTTACCTAAATTAAGTGGAAAGTTGAGGGAGTTTTAGTAAAGAAGGCAGGGAAAGATCCTCTATAGAAAACTCTTTGATGTAATTATGTGCATGTCTTGGTGTACAAAGAAGACCAGGTGTTCTAACACCACATGGTTACAGTTGTGTATAGTTATACTGTTGTTTATAGCTTTCTGTAGACATGTGCTGGCTCCTGCCCTGGGTATATAATAGAGCTTTTGCAAACATGCACAGCAAAACAATGCTGTTTCTGTACTAGAGGCAAGGTTTAGTTTAGGAGGTACAACTTACGACTTGGATCCTGTGTCGGGACTTTTACAAGCTTTGCTAACAGGGTTTGGCAGAAAGAGATCAAGGAAAAGGCAGTTAAATTAGTTTTGAGTGCTTTTTGTCATTTAGACAGCTGTGTTTATATCTCATTCATAGATAGATTAGCTCTCCTGTGTGATGACCACAAACATCAGGCGCCTCTGGGTACTTTGACCAGGGTAGGTTGGTTTTCTACGCAGAGACCTGGGTGAGCCTTTAGTAGCCTCTTTCTAAGGTGGCCACTGACATGGAAACCACTGGGTGCTCAGCATTGAAAGATTCAAGTCTTTATTGAATAGAAATTCTGCAGTAATAATTCCTCACTCTCCTTGTTAATGGTGGGTAATTTTAGGACTTGAGCTGCGTCTCTTTCCATTACAGACGGGGGAAGGGGTAAACCAGTCCACTTAGTGCTTGTGTTGGGGGTGCAGGGGGAGATTAAAATTGACCAAGATCCTGTCAACTCATCTCCCAGCGTGAATGTGGCCCCAAGTTGGAAAGTAACAATTCTGATATAATGGTAATCAGGTAATTACAAGACAGGTCTTTCCTCTGCCATAGATTAGCTATACGGTGTTGAATAAAGCAAGCAGAACTCCTACCTTCTGTGTCTGTAGCATATAGATAGTAACAGGAAAATAGATTTCCTTTTCCCTACCTGTTAGGGAAGCTTTCTTTAATATACATGACCAATGTCTTTGGTCCCTGCTTCTTAAGGGAAATGTCTTTGGAAGTAGTGACCCATAGGAACATTACACAAATACCTACTCATCACTTATGCCACTTGAATCACCTCTTTCTGCAGCTGAGTTCATCCCACTTTCGGCAGTTGAGTGCCCTGGAGTGGCTGGGCAAATGGGTGTTCTGTTCTTTGGAAAGTCCCGCTGCTTCTGTCTCTGTGGCTGAATAACTGCTGTTTTCTGTGCAGGTTTTACACTGATTATGCCATCTCTTATGTTCCCCATTCTTGAACTTTCAGGATCACCAGCCTTTTGCAAATGCCCACGATGTGCTGGCCCATTCCCGAAGTCGAGCCAATGTACTGAATAAGGTAGAGTATGCCCAGCAGCGCTGGAAGCTTCAAGTTCAAGAGCAGCGAAAATCTGTCTTTGACCGTCATGTTGTCCTCAGCTAACTGAGAAGCAAATTCAAGGTAACTAGAAAGCAACAAGGCAGACAACTAGAAAAAAATTGACTGAGTTTTCCTGGATTTTATTTTATACCCTGTTGATTTTACCAACTCTTGCTGGGAAATTCAAAACCTGAAACAGAATCGTGCTTGGTGTTTTCTTTTGTTGTTAACATCGTAAGAGACATTTTTTAAAGCACACACCAAGTCAGCCAATAAACCTTTTTCTCTTTGTGACTTTTACAAATAAAAATAAGTCTGCTTGTAAATTATGTCAAAGTCCTTCCCCTGGAACAAGCATTCTTTTTCACCACACAGTTTTAACTTGGTTTTCAAGATAATTTTCAGGTGTTTGTTTTTGCTGCTGTTGTTTTTGGCAGGGGAGAAAAGAGGTGTGTGGGAACTGCTTAACATAACTTTTCTCAAGTCACTTTACTAAAAAATCTTTTGTAAATAGACTTTACTTATATTTTCACGTTTCATTTCTGTCTCGTGGTGTAGCCAGCCTCATCAAAGCCCTTACCTGTCCCTTTTGAATTTTGCACTGACTGTATTGCCGAGGTATCTGGTTGGCATGTGGCCAACTTCGCGGTAAACTAGATCCAAAATGCCCGGTGGCTTGTCACACAGTGCAGATTTTCTCTAAGTACTGTGGTGTGTGATGTAATGCATCCTGGAACACACTGGCCATTTGCTACTTCACTGTAATGACTAACCATAGTCTTGGCATGTGTTGGCTTACTCATCCCTTATATCTTTAAGGATGAATCCTAAGGACTTGGGTACTTGCAATAAAGAACTTTTCTTTTAAATCCAAGCCTTGCTGGATTGATGATATTTACATGTTTGTCAGCCTTTTGGGTCAGGTTGAGAGGCAGCTGTTTGAGCTCCGGTGTGTGCAGCTTTGGACGAGCACCGGAGTTCCGTGTGCCTCCCTCTGAAAGGTGGAACGGTCAGTGGATAACTGGCTTTTTCCTTCCTGTGTCCTCTTTGGAATGGAACAATAAAAATAATTTTTGAAACACCTACCAGCTTATCTGTCTCTTAACTTCTCTCTCCTCCCTCTTTTGCTCTATGATGGATTTAAAAATGCAAAGGCATTTTGTACCCTGTTGTCAGACTCCCATTTTAGACCAGTCTAATCATAAAACATTGGTTCCAAATTGTGCGTGAGTGTGTGTGAGACTAGTGAGAGAGAGAGAGAGAGAAAGAGAGAGAATGTACAGGTATTAAGATGGTTTTCTGGCCCTGGCTGGTGTAGCTCAGTGGATTGAGTACAAGCCCGCAAACCAGAGGATCGAGGTTCGATTCCCAGTCAGGGCACATGCCTGGGTTGCAGGCCAGTTCCCAGCAGGAAACCCACAAGAAGCAACCATACACTGACATTTCTCTCCCTCTCTCCTTACCTTCCCCTCTAAAGAGAAAATAAGTAAAATCTTTAAAAAAAGAAATTCATTAAAAAAAAAGATGGTTCTCTGAAAGTATACAAATAACATTTTGATGTTGAGAGATTTACAAATGTATGAACAAATGCTTGTTCTAAGAAATTCTTAGCAAAAATTATTAGAATTAAGTTATATTGAGTTCATAAGTATAAGGCTTTAGGGGCTATTAATGGGTTTTTTAGTTAGTAAAAAACAAATTTTCAGACCTACAAAACTAAACTAAAATTATTGATTTTATTTGTGAGTATTAAAAGATTTCTAAGTTCAACTACAATTGAGTGAAATTTATGCCAGGGATTCAAGACTGGTTAAATAGTCAAAGACCAATTACTAAAACCTATCACATCAGCAGGTTAGGGAAGGAAAATGATCTTATCAATAGACGCAGAAAAAGCATTTGGCAAAATTCAACACCCTTTATGAAAAATTCTCAGTAAACTAGGAACAGAAGAGAACTTCCTCATCTTGACAAAGAATATCTACAGAAGCCCACAGCTAACATACCGAATGGTAGAACACTAGGAGTGTCCCTGCTAAGATGCGGAACAAGGCAAGGAGTCCTCGACACTCCTTTTCAGCATCACACTGCAAATCCCGGCTGATGCAAAAGACAGGAAATAAAAGGTATATAGATCAAGAAGGGAGAAATAGTCCTGCTTTCAGATGAAACAATCGTCCATGTAGAAAATCCCAAAGAATCACAAAACAAAAACAAAAAACCTCCCTGGAAATAATGTATAAAAAGGTTGCAGGATAGCAGGCTAATATTCAGAAGGTAATTGCCTTCCTATGTGCTAACAATGAACATGGGAAATTAAAAACAACACCATTTACCAATACCAGCCCCCTGAATGATACAGGTATAAATCTAGAGAATAGGTACAAAATACATGTGATGAAAACTAAAACTGATGAAAGAAGTCAGAGGAACTAAATGAATGGAGAGAGATTCCGTGTCCGTGGATAGGAAGACTCAGTGCAGTCAGGATGCTGGTTCTCCGTTTGATTTATGGATTCAACACAATCCCCATCAAAGTCCCAGCAAGTTATATTCTGTATTTCAACAAACTTATTGTAAAGCTTGTATCAAGAGGCAAGAGACCCAGAAAAGCCAACGCAGTATGAACAGAGGAGTAAAAAGTCAGAGGACTGACACCGTCTGACTTGAAGACTTAACATAAAATTATTGTAATCAAGTCAGTGTCATGGTACGAGGACAATGATAGACCAATAAAACAGAATATGGACCCCACAAATAAACCCACACAAATACAGTCAGCTGACTTTTGACAAAGAAACAAAGGCAATACAATGGAGAAAAGTCTTTTCAACAAATGATGTTGGAACATCTGGACATCTATGTGCAAAACAAAAACAAATGAAGGTGGACATAGATCTTACACCCTTCAAAATACTAACTCAAAACGGATGACAGGCCTGACTGTAAAACACAGAACTATAAACATCTGTAAGATAATATAGGATAAAAGCTGTGTTTGGCAATGACTTTTCAGATAAAACAGCCCTGGCTGGTGTAGCTCAGTGGATTGAGTGCTGGCCTGTGAACCAACGGGGCACATGCCTGGGCTGCAGGCCAGGTCCCAGGTTGGGGACACATGAGAGGCAACCACACATTGATGTTTCCCTCCCTCTCTCCTCTTCCCTTCCCTCTAAACAATAAATAAAATCTTAAAACACACCAAACGCACAAACCGTGAAAGAAAGAATTGGTAAGCTGGACTTCATTAAAATTAAAAACTTCTGCTCTGAGACATATAGTGAAGAGAACGAGAAGACAGGCCACAGACTAGGAGAAAATATTTGCAAAAGACATCCGATAAAGTGCTATTATCCAAAACATACAAAGACCTAAAAACTCAACAGACAAGTTGATTAACAAAAGATTCGAAGACCTGAACAGACACCTCACCAAAGAAGATACACAGATAGCAAGTAAGCATGTGAAAAGGCTCCACATCATACCTTACCAGGGAAATACAAAGAAACAAGATACCACTACACACGCATTGGAATGACCCAAACCCAGAACTCTGGTACCACCCCATGCTGGTGCAACAGGAACCCTTGTTCACTGCTGTGGAAATGCAAAATGGTACGGCCGCTCCGGAAAACAGCTGGACATTTTCTTTAAGAACTGAATATACCCTTACCGTAAGATCCAGCAATCACACTCAGTATTTACCTAAATGAGTTGAAATCTTGTACCTGCACAAGAACCTGCGCATGAATATTTACAGCAGCTTTATTTGTAATTGCCAAAACTTGGAAGCAACCAAGACATCCTGCAGTAAAGGAATGGGTAAGTAGAATACACCCAGACAGAACAATATTCAGCGCTAAAAAGGAATGATCTATCAAACCATAAAAAATCTTAAATGCATACATATTATTGAGTAAAGAAGCCAATTTGAAAAGACCATATATGGTATATTTCCAACTATATAATATTCTGGAAAAAGCAAAACTGATAGGGGACTTAAGAGTTGGAATATTTTAGTTTAAGTAATAGTTAATAAGCTTAGTAATCTGCATATAAAAGCTTTTGTTCCAGGAACTGAAGATATGACTCACCTTGACTCCAGGAGACCTTAAGCAGTCCCACCTTTGTGCCTCAGGAGGACAGCAAGCAACTCAAGATGATATCTGAGCCACTGTCCTCCAGGGTGAGATGACCACCGCCTGGGGCACACAGCTTAAGACCACTGAAGAATACTGAAGGTTTTTTTTTTTTTTTCAATCCAATGAATTTTCCCTGAATTCCAAACCCCTTACCTACACTTTGTTCTCCTTCTAAAAAGGACCATTTAAAAATGGAATTTAAGATGGTCTGTTAGGGTATGAACCCACCATCTTCTCAGATCACTGGCCATCTGAGAAGTACCCATAAAGATTCAATCCCTTATTAAGGTTGGTAGTGACAGGCAGCCCGAACTCTGCTATCTTTTCCGGTTTCAAAACTATGGAGGCAGTAAGAAAAAAATCAGTGGTTGTCAGATATTGGAGGGAGAAAGGGAGGGAGGGAGGGAGGGATGAATAGGCGTAGCACAGGGGCTTTTTAGAGCAGTGAAACTATTCTGTATGATCCTATAGTGTTGATACATATCACAATTTAGTCAAAACTCAGAATGTGCAACCCTATGCAAACCAAATGAGCCTATGTAAACCCTGGGCTTGGGGTGATAATGGCGTGTCAGTACGATTTCATCAGTTCTCACAAGTGTATTTGGGGTGGGATGTTGGTAGTGGGGAGGGATGTGTGTTTGGGGGCAGGAGCTGTATGGGAACAGTCTATTTTCTACTCAGTTTTGCTGTGCATCTAAAATTATTTGGACAAAAGTACAGTCTATTTAAAGGGGAAAAATTTAATAGGTATTTTAATAAACTATAGGTTCATAATGACCTTTCTGGTCTTAATCGCTGTTTAAAAGAATATTGACCAATATTGTCACATTATGAAATTATTACTTAAAGACATTTTTCATGAATAATTTTGATTAAAAAAATCATATAACCCAGATGAATGGGGAGCATTCTTTTTCCAAATGAATTTGTTAAAAGAGTCCAGTTTTATAAACAGACCTTTCCACTTAGTTTTGTTCTATGTTGTCATATCTACATGTGGTGTGGAAAAAACAGCTAAACCAGAACCGAGCAGTTCTGTTTAACTGTCAGCTACTTTGCATATTGTTACTAGATGGTCACCTATAAATCAGGTTAAGTCGGACTGAATCCAAAATACAGCATCTCGGTGATAAAAGTCAGGTAAGAGACTCTTCCCCAGGGTGGCCCATGGGGAGAGTAAGAATATGATTTATAGGAAAATTCCTAGGCACAACTGATAAATGATGAATTGTGTCAGCTGTCTGATTATTTCATTATTTTAAAGTGTCCACTATACCTGTGTGTTAGATTCAGATTTTGCTGGTGGCTGAATCATCTAGAGCAGTGGAAAAGGTTTTGGTTTGGAAGTCAGGAGACCTAGGCTCTGACCCCCACTCTGCAGCTACCTCTGCAGCTTTAACCAAGTTTCAGTCTATGGGGGATGGGATACGAGGATTTCTAAGGTTCCTTCCATCCCTAATATTCTAAAACTCAGCTATATGTGTAGTTGTAGCTTTGTTTTTTACATGCTAGAGATACATTTAATGTCTCTGAAAGTTGAACCTTTTATGCTCAGTAGAGCATCCAAAATCTATTTAGGATTTTATTGTTAAGACCTCATGTATTTCCCAGAAGAGCTCTAGGACAGAAACCTGAGACTTTCCCAAGACAGGTGTGTCTGTTAGCCATGCCTGTCTTGGGAACTGCCGAACCCCAGCACTGCTCATCTGGGTGGCTTTTATAAAATTTGTACTCAGCTTCTGCAAACATACCCAGCTTCCACTGGACTTCCCACCTTGATCTTCTTCATTACTGCACTTTTCATTCTATCACCCTGTTGTGGTTCAATTTTCTTATATGAATAAAAGATGATCACTGCTACTACAGTGATTAGTGAACTTTTTTTGAAATGCTCAACAGAAACAGCTCCTCATCAGCCTGTCTCCAGAGACACTGGTCTCTTTTTCTAAGAATAACACAAAGTCTTGTTAAAGCCTAGAAACTTTTAATTATCTGTGGCATACACACTTTATTCAGATTTCATCTGAGTCAACATTTAAGACAGTATTAAAATGATCTGTCAAAATACAACCATACCCAAAGAATTTTTGTGCAAAATTGGCTTTGGTGACTCCTGTCTTACGTGTTGGTGTCCTGTTGTGTCACTTCTGGCTTGTCAGCCATGGGCAGCCGTGAGGACTGCCATTCTCAGACGTGTAGGAACACGGGCTCCACACATGTTCTGTTTCCACCCTCCAGAATCTCTGGCTCGGGGATTTCCTAACTCTATTCTCAGCAATTTTTTTTTTGGACATGAGCTTGGCTAGTTTTTCATCTTCAGAGATTTTTGTTTTTATTTCAGGCCAGTTGGTCAGTAATTTGGAATCTTTCGCTTCCTGTTCCTTTGTTTTGATTTGTTTCACTGGACCTATTGCACTTATCTCATCCCACCCTCCACCCCCAATAAGGAACAGTTTTTCCTGGCATTTACTTTTTTTCCGGCTTGTTTCACCATGACTTCTAACCCTCTTCACCCTTTGCCCCTATGCCCGCTTCCCACTGCCCTTTCTGTTTCTGTAGTCACTTGTCTTTCCATATGAGAGAGATGCAGGCTTTTCCACAAAAATTGTGATACACTTGACTGCACGTGAGTTCTGGTGCTCAGAGGCTGCTCTCTGCACTGGGTATTGTGGCCTGCAGAGTTTCTGCTCTGCTCAGGTGGAAGCACAAGTGACAGTGCTATCTAACCCTGCTCGTGAGCATTAGAGATTTTTTTTTGGGGGGGGGGGTAAGTTTTCTTTGCATATGCCAAATACAGAGAACATCCTCTCCTAAAGATGTTGAAAAATCACACCCCCGAGAAATTAACCAAAAGCCCTATTTCCTTCTTTTTCTGGAGGCCCATGGTTAGATTTCATATTGCTTCCCGTTTTCCATTTTAGGTATGCTCTTCATCTCTGAACCAGTATGCTTTGGGATATATCAGTGTTTGGTTTTCCAGTGTTAGGGAAAACATAAGCCAGGTTTTCTGTAAGGTGCCAGTTACAGGAATGCTGCGCAAGTATTCGACTGTTAATAAAGAAAAAGGGGAAGAGCCAATGCCTAGCACATTGTGTTGTTGTTGTTTTTCTTCAGTCCTCACAGTCTCTCTGCAGAATAGTCAACAGCTCGGTTGGTCATTAGAAAAAGCTGAAGCCCAGAGAGATTATGAAACTTGCCTCAGGCCACACAGCTAGGGAGGAGCAAAGCCCACTTGGAAACTCGGGGTCATCACTGAAAGGAAAATGCTCTTTTCTTACAACGTTACCCTGGCGCCCAGTTAACTGGTTAAACCGCAGTATCCCTGTAAAACCTGTTGCAGCTGCATTGTTACAGTTAAAGGCAAAGCAATGGCGATTTAAGGAACGAGATGAATGCAGGGCTATTCAGGTAGAGGAAATGTGGCGGTGTGGGACCTTTCGGGGTGCAATACTTGATCCTTCTGTTCCATTTTTAAAAGAACAAAACTTAAATACAGATGCACTCCACTCCATATTCTTCAAGTTCTGTGCAAGTAAAAATATGTAAATCTATATTATAAATGCGACAGGAGAATTTTCCATTTAAAGGACCCAGTGAACTTTTAAGAGTGAATGATTCCTTTCTCATTTTTGTTTTCAGACCTGCCTCCGGCACGTTAGGCATTATTTAAGACAGCTGTGCCTGTGAGGGCGCAGGGGCACTAAGTCTGTAGCTCCTCCCACGCGTGTTCAAGCGCTGTGGCCTTGCAGTGTTTCCCAGACCTCGGTCATTGGCACACACCTTCACAGCCACCATTATCCGAGTTCCACCTGTACCGTTACCGACTTTCCATTTTCCTTCAGTTCATATTTTTCACTCAGGTAGGTTTTAGTTTTTAAATAAACTTTGTATCATACTATAAATGTGAAATCAGTATAACTCACAGTAACAAGGAATTAAAATATTATTAAATCCTAGCTAGATCGTATCTCTTGTGGAAGGCCTCCATCTGAGGGTCAGAAAGCATTCTGGTGGGGCACAGGACACACCCAGCAGCCTAAAGCTGCGTCTTTGTAATCCTTGCAACTGAGAGAGGATTGAAAGGCAACAACTTTCTCACGAGGTGAGTCAGTGTTATTTAATGCTGCTTCTGTGTACCATCAAACATCCTCTCTTTTACTACCCACAGAATGTTGTAACCCCTTTTGGTCTGAGCTCAGAAACTATACATCAAGGCAGAAAAGTCTTTAAAACATGGATCTCTGAGAACGTCAATATCTGTTCTTTTTTGATTTGGCCCAATTAATAAACTCAGTTATGTTTCCAGGCGAACGAGGAAATGATGGACAATAGGAGCTACTGTAATCTGCCAGAAAAACTGCCCGTCTTCTCTGACTCTGCCCACTTGCCCCTGACCCGGTCCTTCTATCTGGACCCCATGGTCACTTTCCACTTATACCCGGAAGCCCCGGTGCCATCCCCTTACGCTGAAGACCTGCCATTGCTGCCCTTTCCCAGTGATTCCCTGATGGTGGAAAATTACAGCGAAGCCTGCCCCTTCTCCTTCCCAATGCCCTATGCAAGTTACAGGAGGTGTGAGTACGCCTATGGGCCCGCCTTCATCCGGAAAAGGAACGAACGGGAAAGGCAGCGGGTGAAATGTGTCAACGAAGGCTATGCCCAGCTCCGGCACCATCTGCCAGAGGAGTACTTGGAGAAACGACTCAGCAAAGTGGAAACCCTCAGAGCCGCAATCAAGTACATTAACTACCTGCAATCTCTTCTGTGCCCCGATGAGGCTGAGACCAACAATAACCCTGGGAAAGGTCCCACCATAATAGCAACCACCAGCCGCCACACTGACCCCATTTTTAGAATCATTTGACTCAGTGTTTCCAAAGAGAAGCAAATAATGTCACAATAAAATCGGGGCTCTTAGAGTGTCATGGAATAGTTTTTCCTAAATGTAATTTCTGTGTGGGCAGATAGTAGCTCAGATGCCAACCTATGGTGGATATTTATTACCCAGATTTCAGACATCACCTTCTGCAGACTGAGAAGAAGATTCTTAAGCTTTGGCGATTGCTTTCCAGCACCTGAGGGGAACGGGAGTCCCAGCATCCTCTATACCTCTCCGCTTGCCCTTTTCACACGCTTCCCCAGAGTCTCTGCTGTGAGCAAGTCTCACAAAAGTACTGTGTGGCTAGTGATTACTGAGTGCTTGTAAAATGCACTTTGCAGGCACCACATTTGAAGCAAACACAATGCACCTCCCTTGATTTGTCAGATTTTGGTGTTTTTTATTTGGAACCCCAAATAAATCTATACCTTACCCATGTCATGATGGGCAAGTGTCTCAGAGCTGAGGCAAAAGTAGTCAACAAAACCTTGTTGTCATTTGAAATTATTTCAGCTATCTGTTTCCTGCCCACAGAGGACTTCCTTAGGCAGCTCAGTGCAGAGTGAAGAGGGCAGGCTCCGGAATGAGGCTGCCTCCGTGCAGACGATGACTCTGCTAGTTTCTCTCCACGGCACAGCTCTTCACCCACAGATGAGAATAATGAGAATAGTAACTACCCCGAATGTTTATTACGAGGATTAACATATTAACAGCACCTGGTACATAAGTAGCTATAACCTTTATTATTCTTGTCTTTCTCTTGTTTTGTCTGTAGCATCGTCATTCTCTAGACTTTCTCAGCCAGCAAACGTGCAGCTGCCTTCACCCCCCGGGGAGGGACAGTCAGTGGCCCGTATCTTGGCGTCTGCCTTCAAAATGTCTGAATTTCAGCTCTTCCTTCCCCCTTAACTCCCAGGTCCCATCTGTCCCCAAGCTCAGTGAGAACTTCCAATACCCTGTCACACTCACCTCCACTGTCATTTCTCGGTGAAGCCTTCTCACCCTGGCCGTTGCTTGCTTTTTTGTTTTGTGTACATATTTTTGTGCGGTTTTTATCCTGCTGTCTTTGCACGTGGTGTTGCACAATGCTCTGTCTTCTTCAGGAGACTGGAAGCTCCTTGAAAATAGGGACTGCTCTTATTCGTCCTGCACCCTTAGCACCCAGCGAAGAGCCTCTAGTCAGGTAGGTGTTGCCAGTGGTATCTGGGTTGCCATTTTCCAGTCCTATCATACGTCTGAGTAACTGTTAACAGCTTCCTCCCGGGCCTCCCAGGCTCCGTTCTCAACTGACTCCATCCTCATGCTGAGCTTCTTAAAGCATTTCATGCTCCTTTGTGGCTCAAACCCCATGAAGACTGCCTTTGACTACCACATTGTTTACATGTGTCTGCTTGGTTTTCAAAACTCCCACCAATCTGGCCCTTTCCCAAGTATCCACACCTTGATTTTCCCGTGAAACACATTCCCCCCCAAAACAAGTGTCGTCTTGTAAATGTATCCGTCTCTCCTAGCTCTTGCTTCCTACTTAAACTGAAATGTTCTCCTTTTCCCCTCTACTATTGAAACCCTCCCTGTCTTATTCAGGAATCCTCCTCTCACTGCCAGAGACTTCTCTGGTTTTTCTTGGACTCTGACTTCAGCATTGTGCAGCAAAAAACTCAGCCTTAGGCAGGAGAGCAGTCATCGGGTGGGAAGCTTTGGGGTGTTAGCGAAAATCCGGATTGGTGTCACTGATAAAGGCTCACATAACCGAAGCGTCTTGCAGTAGGGCAGCCTTCACAGGGCTCAACACTGTCACCAAGAACCTGCATCCTTTAGGTCTGTCCTCTGAATCCTCCTCTGGGAATAGTTTCAGTATCCCCAAAAGGCTGGTAGAAGCTCCCAGAGCCACATACCTCCTTGTTATGGATAGGAGGAGAGAGACTGTAGCCAGGGATTCCCAGCAGAAGTCTGGAGTGCCTTGGCTATGTGTCCCAACAGACCCCTGCAGCCAGGGGGATGCAAGGTGCTGACTGATGCATGTTCCACCTGTGGGTCTGAGGGCACCATCAACCTCTCCTGACCACATGGATCCTCAAACAGAGATAGGCACTGGTGGTACAGGGGACCAGTAACATGGGAGAGACACCTACAAATAGCAAACCGTGTTGCTATTTTGCCTCCACTGAGCCCCGCCTGGCGCACCACTGGTGTGCAATGACTGTCAGATGCTTCGAAACCAGCTTCTCCTGTGGACATTCAAATGAGAGCAGAAACTAGACTTCTGTTCCTTTGGTCCCCACTGTCCACTCCACCACCAAAGTGGTCACCACACCTCTGCTTCTTGGCAGGGGCCTGTCTGTTACAAACAAATATGCCCATGCCTTCGGTTATTTTGTCTTAAACTACCAACAAATTCTATGTTAGAGTCCCTAGTCCAGCCAGTGGATCCGCACCCCCAGCCCCCGGCTTGCTCAGGGCGGAGGCACATCTATGGTCCTGAGTCTAGAGCTCCCCTGGGATCCGGGAGGGCTCCCCCCATGACTGGGTCTTCCGGCAGTGAGGAAGCCTGAGCTTGTGGGAATTGAAGCTACCAATACCTTTCTCTCCAATATCCCCCTCTTTATAGATGGAGAATAACCGCCTGCCCCTCACCAGGCTCATGCCTCCCAAGGCCCCCTGTCAGCCCCTGCACATGCTCAGTACACTCAGCCCACAGTGTTCCTTCTGGCTCACAGCCATGGCAACCTGCTTGGCAACCAGGAGTCAGTTGGGCTCAGGCCCTGAGCCCCAACTGTCGAAAGGGCTGAGGCCGAGGTGGAGGAGGCTGGGTCTGTGGGTAAGTGCCTTCGGGTTCAGACCTGTGGACTTGGGCAGGGACAGACCCTGACAGGGCTCTGGGGGGCTGGGGCAGCAGAGCATGCTCTTGGGCCCTGGGTTGCAGCTGTTGCCCCTGAACAGGTCTGTGGAGGCCACAGCCCTGGGATCTCAGCTGGGTCTGGGCCTGGGCCTGAGTTGATCCTATAGATGACTGGGTCAGGAGGGTGTCTGTGGCTTGGGCTAGGGGTCACTTCACCATCAGGGGTAGGATTTGTGAAGGGAAGTATGGTCTTACCCTCCCCTACCCTCAGGAGTCCTACAACTGGGGAGAAGGAAGGAGGAGAAAACTAAGGTAGATACTGAGCTCCTTCCGTGCCAGGTGCTTTCCATATATTACCTCCTGACTGCGTGTAACAAGTGCTGAGGTGAAGAGAGCACACAGCCCGCAGGCTGTGAAGAATTTAAAGCAGATTTGTCTTCAATCACAGCTCCTGCTCTTTTCCACCCTGTTCTGAACTGAGGTGCCCAGGGCAGGTGGTTCAGAGGCCACTCTGAGCATCTGTGGGAGCGAGTGGAGCCCCAGAGAGGCCACTGACCACTGACTGCAGAGCTGAGCCCCGTCCCAGCCCGGTGTCCTCTGCTGGGCTTCATGCAATTCAGATAATGGCGGTGCTTATTCTCAGGCGGTTTCTCCGAAGTCCATGGAATCCCCCGCAGAGCCTGGGATGCCTTTGCCCAAATACTGCAGCGTGGCCACAACCCTGGAGGTCCCCGCCTGGGCCGGCACTGCTCCTCCCTGGGACTTGGCCTTTGCCTGCCCCTTTGGCCCCCAAGCATCCTGGCTCGCCTGGCACAGCCCTCTCACCAGGTACCGGGCCCCGCCCCTCCGGAGGAAGTTGGTGGTCATCCCCTTTTTCTTCTGTGTCCTTTGGTTCTGCACAGTGTACCGTGAGGGAGAGAACTTGCTTCCTGGGAAGGCCGAAAGTGTTCCTTACTGTGTGGGCTATGATTTGCTTAAGGTAATACATGCCCCCAACCTAAACTGTGCTCCCATGGACCTCCAGGGCTGTCCGGCTCTTGTCCCACGGTGTAGCAGAGTGGCATGTATCAGAGTGTGAGAGAAGGCAGTCAGGTATCCCCAGTTATATCGTTTCCGGATCGTTTTAGCATCAACCATGGGACTTGTTCTGGCACTATGTGAGAAATTAGGGTTTCCGCAATCCAGAGCCAAGGTGAGATCTCCAGGCCCCTCCCCAGGTTCCCTCAGCATCCCTCTGCCCTCCTGGATCTTCGGAAACCAGATCCTCAGTCAGCTGTCTAAGGTGCTCCTACTAAAGGGGAAAGGCCCCTCAGCCTATAAGCACATACTAGCCATTAAGTCCCAGGGACTGCCCCTCCATTCAGCCTGCCCAGCTTAGAGACATGGCCGCTCGAACCCTTAGTAGCCGGCCCTGTCTCTTGATTCTCCTAGGTAGGCCATCTCGGCTTGCCCTATAGCCTGGCTTGCCCACGAAAGTAAACAGCTTCTTCAGAAACCCAAGCTCTGATTCACCGGTCCCTCCGTCCCTGGCTCGGCTGTGTCCACAAAATTCCCAGAACCAGCTTCTCCTTGTCTCTGTCCCCACAGCCTCTGTCCAGCTCCTCGGTGCCTCCCCTGCACACGCGCTTCCTCCCCCCTCTGACCCCACAGCGCCACACATTCTCACACACTTGCTGCTTGGGCATCACCATCCAAGCCCCCACACCTCCTCCTGGAATCCCACACACCCACTTAGGATGCACCATTGCGGTATTCTTCTCCGGGCTGCTATCTGATCTCAGAAACAGCATTAACTAACTTGACTATACAAGGCTAATCACATTCTGATGACTTTGAAAGTTTCCAGTCCTCAAACAATGGTTCCCTCCTCCATCCTCTCCTGCCCCATCCCACAGTTTACCGCACCGAGGAGTCACAGATGGGCACTTTGTAAGTGGATTTCTGTTCATATAGCTTTATATGTCACACGCACACCTCAGTGCTGCTCAAATCTCTCTGTGAAACGTGTTTCTCGATGTGTTGAGGGCTGGGTCTTCTCTACTTCCTAATTCCGTTTGCTTTTTCCCAGATGTGTGTCTTATCAACCGTATCTCCACGTGGCTGAGCCAGCGCGGCAGGGGCCCTGTTGGCTGGGAAGAGCGGGAGACACCGCTGGCACGTGGGTCTTGGCGAGAAGGGAGCCAGATGGCTTTTATTACCGGGCTCAGATAAAGACAGCTCCAGAGGCAAGTCCCTCACCACCCACGTCTCCCCGGCACCCTCCTCCTCTGGTGGCCCTGTCACACCCGACATTCCTCAGCAGTGTGTGCCCAGCAGTTCAGGTTCTTGGAGAAGCACAGCTCTCCCCTGGCTGGGCTGTGCAGGTGGAAATGCGGTGTCAGTGAGTGCATTAGTACGCTAGGGCTGTGTAAGAACATGGTGCCAACAGAATGGCTTAAACAGCAACAGAAATTTGTTGTAAAAGTACTTTGTTCGGTAAGATTCAATGTGTGCGATTCTTGGGCAACAGCCTAAGGGAAGCAGGAGCAAACGCGTGTGCCTGTGTGCATGCCTGTGCGCCCGCACACGCAGAAGCACGGGAACCTGCACTCGGGAGCTGGGCCCGGCTTTTACTTCGGCGGCTGCTCACTTCGGAACTTTTCTCTTCTTTATGGAGGCAGACTGTGGGACTGGGGGGCGTGGAAGAAAGACTAGTGTGAGTTCTGACAAAACACATGACTGATAAAATCTCCAGTGAAAAGTCACTTTGTCATTTTCAAGTAACCAATTCATGAATTCAAATGAAATGTTAGCAGGGTTTTGCTCAAATAGAGAGGTTTTGTCTAGTGATTTGTTAACCAGAATTTATTTCTTTTCAAAAGCATACTGAGCTCTCAAAAAAGCTCACACTTGAAACTAACCTCAGTGCTTCTCCCGCCCTTTCCTCACCGGTGTGACGAGGGCTGAGGGCTGCCCCAGCACCCCAGCCACTCCTTGCCCTCGTGGGCCTGCGGGTGGAGACACTGTCGCTGGCTGGTCCTGGACACAGGGACGAACTTCTTGGACATGCTAGCGGCCAGTGGAGTGCCCTGGGGAAAGAGCCAGAGGACCCAGGGTTTGCAGGACAAAAACAAGAACAGAAGAGGAAACAAGAAAAGGACGAGAATGGGAAGGAAGGGCAGGACCGGGTGAACAAGAGCTGCCCCGGCAAGAAGAGGTGGAGAAGGAGGAACACCCTCCCACGCCGCGCCGTCTCTGCTCCCGTGGGCTCTGAGCAGTACCTGCCCCTCCCTCCTCTGAATGGCCCTCGTGTTTGTGAGGAAGTCTCCGGCCTGGTTCCAGGTCACAGCTGCAGGGAGCCGTGGTGCTCCTCGTGGTGCTTCCTCCCCCAGACCTTATTCTGAGTGTTTTCTTTCCCACAGCTGGAGAGGCAGGGGGCCCTGCTTGTGGAATTTGAGGCTCCGCTTGTCACAGGCCCAGAGCTGCCAGCCCAGCGGCAGAACGTGGTCTTAGGAGAAGATGTTGTTCAGTTCTCACCATCCACGGAACACTCACTGCACCCTGGGGACAAGGTGCTGGCCCCCTGGGAGCCAGACAGACAGCGGTATGGCCCTGCCACTGTCTTGGGCTTGGAGGCGAGAGATCCCCAGAGAGGTAAGGCCAGCTGCTCTGACCTACCGGCTCCCAGGGGGAACCAGGCTGGCGATCAGGCCAGAGGAGAGCGCAAAGGGGTCTCTACAGCTTAGGGGTCTCTACAGCTTAGGGGTCTTAGAGGCATTAAAAAAAACAAAACACCCTTACCTCCTCACTAGCAGTTTAACCTGGGGTGTGGCAAAAAAAATCTACAAATCATATCGTTGAGATTAAAAAATATTTTTCATCAGGGCAAAATAGTCTAAAACTATTATGTCTATGTTGGTTAGCCAACCTGTGCTGTGGTGGGTTATCCTGGGGTTACACCAGTACTCGTGACCTGTCCCCCACCAAATCGTCCAGAGACTGGGACAGTCCCCTTCTACAGGGCCGACCAGTCGGCATCACCGTAATTCAGAGAATGGCAGAAGGAGGTTCCCCCTTCCAGCCCCCACACTAGGAGGCACTTTGGTTTTGACGTCAGAACTGAGGCTGGGAGGCGCACAGGTGCGCTGACGTGAGGGCTGCTCCTGCAGACTCTCTGGGAGAAGTCCGTGTGAGGAGGCAGCGGGGCAGCGGGGCTGCCTCTGGGGAGAGGAGAGCCCCTATCTCATGGCGTAGAAGAAGAGGTAGTTGTAACAAAATGTCGCCCTTTTCTGTTATGTAGCATGGAAAGAAGAAATTACTGTCCACTTCTGGAATGGCAAGACAGCCACGGTGCCTCCAGGTGGGGTCAGCTGGGTGCCCCCCGCTGTCTGGAAGAAGGCTGTGGAGAAGCTGCGCCGGCCTTTGACCAGGGAGCACCCCAGTGCCCTGCTCAGGGCGCCCTGCTGCTCCCTGCTGGGGCCGGGCACTGGATGTGTGACCCACGGGTTTCCACTTGGCCCCCCGCTCCTGTGCCCTCCCCGCCACCCCCACGCCTGCTGCCAGCTGCTGTGCCAGGGCTGCCCCGGCTGCCCTTTGGCCGGACCTACCTGGTGGCCTCTAACCAGGGCCTCGGGCGTCACAGCAAGAGAACATCCAGAGGCAGAGCTGAAGCCCACAGCACAGCTTTTGCCCCTGGAGGCTCCTAAAGAGGAGGAAGTAGCAGTGCCAGCTCCCATAGCTGTGTCCTCCTCCTCTGAAGAGGATGTGGAGAAGGATCTGGAGATGGGCGCCTCCCAGAGGCCGATGGTGGACAGTACAGCCAACACAGACCCTGTCCCTGCTGAGAAGACTCGGAGGCGGCCGGGTGGCCCCTCCCAGCCCGAGTGGAGGTACTGGAGGAGAAACGGGCAGGAGCCCCAGCCTGGGAAGCCAGGTATACCTTCCTGTAAGGCGGGGCTGAGGCCCTTGCCCCCTTCTCTCCCTTGTGTCTCTTGGGAATCTGAGCCACGTGACCACTAAACTGGGAGTGGAAATAATAAGCAGAGTCTGTGATAAGAGGGAAATAAATGGTAGGTTTCCATCTCAGCAGTAAAGCCCAGCAGGAAAGGATGGGGTGATTTTCTTGCAGAGGTTCACCTCTCTCTTTAACAGCTGTCCTTTCTTCACTAGTCTCTCCTAGAGGTCCTGCTGCTAACCTTTGCTTTTATAGTATCTGCCCCCTCACCCTTTTTGTTCTCGGAGGCCTTGATTTGCCTCTAGATGAAGCACCTAAACGCCTCCAGGGGCTGATTAGTCTTCAGTGCCCCAAGAAGCCCAGAAACGACTTTTCAAACCCCAGTGGTCAGGCCCTACTCTCCAGAGGGGGCCCTTACTAGGTCAGAAGCAGGGCCCTGCACCGTGCCGCTCATTCTTACAGCTCAGAGGGAGGCAGTGTTATTGTTTGCAATCTGCAGCCATCCCCAAACTTCTTCTTTTAAAAAAATTAATTTAATTTATTTTGAGAGAGAGGGAAAGGGAGAGAGAAAGAGAGGGAGGGAAACATCAGTCAGTTGCCTCTCATACACCTCAGATGGAATCAAACCCACAACCCAGGCATGTGCCCTGACCGGGAATGAAACCAGCAACCTTTCACCTTGCAGAGTGAGCCCACCCCACTGAGGCACACTGGTCAGGGCCAACCCCAGACTTCTGCATCGTGGGCTAAGAGCTGTGTGATCTGCCCTCACAGGTTTAGGAGCAGTAGGTCACTGATGTGCCCACCCTGTCAAAAGTCCCAAAGTGGCCCCAGAAGAGCAGACGCCTGTCAGCCGGCCGAGCTATATGGTGGGGGATAAGCCCAGTCTTAGATGAGATTCTTGGGGTATGGGGTCACTAATTTAATATTCAGTGAAGTAAATGAACATTCCATCTGGGGCAGGGATGCTGTGAGGGTTTAAGAATATCACTGCTAAAAGCTCAAGGATCTCCAGATACCCCCGAATTGGGACCCACGTGGGTCCCGGATTAAAGCCAAGCCATCGCCCTATTTCCAGGACCGAGGCTCAGCCAGAAAGACCTTCTAGCCCACGAGGATTTCAGTCTTGCCCCAAGACAGGCTTTTTATTAGTCCTCAGTTCCAGATGGTTGAGAAATTGTTTCTACAATTCTCATTGTACTTTCTTGGTTGTCTCCCCTGGACCCCTGGGCTTTGGGGCGGGCGGGGATGGGTAGATGTCACTGCTGTTGTGTTTTTTTTTTTTTTAAATATTTTATTATTTATTTATCTTTAGAGGGGAAGGAGGGGAAGGAGAGAGGGAGAGAAACATCAATGTAGGGTTGCCTTTTGTGCGTCCCCTGCTGGGAACTGGCCTGCAGGGAACCGGCCTGCAACCCAGGCATATGCCCTGACTGGGAATCGAACCGCGATCGTGTGGTTCGCAGGCCCGCGCTCAATCCACTGAGCTACACCAGCCAGGGCTTGCTGTTGTGTTTTATCAGAGGGCGCCAGGCCTTCCTCAGCTTTCAAAGTGTGGGATCTCTCCCCCACCTCTGGGAGGAAAACAGTAAAAGGACAAGAATCTAGCCATGATCAGCTGAGCTGTTCCTCCCCTATCTGAGAAAAAATATATTAGAAATAGGGGTGGGCAAAAGTAAGTTTACAGTTGTAATACAAGTAATATGATGATAATAATAATCCAAGGCTAAACTATTTCTCTACTTTTGCCCACCCTGTTCAAAGGCTGGGGGAGGTCCCTGTGCTTCTGTGAAATGGGTCACTCCAGTCTCACAGAGGGAAACATTGGGCAGCCTGGGCGAAGCTACTTAGATGTGCCCTCCCAACAGGGGCTAATACAGGGAAACTGGTGCCCAGACCTGGGGTGCTCACGCTGAATTCTCCATAGCTTCTACCACCTCCTGCTTCAGCACAGTGGGGAGAAAGAAAAGCTGTATCTTCAGAGGAGTCTGTGGGGAACAGCTGGGCAGCCCAGGCCCTGCTTCACGGAGAGGGGCACCAGCGGGGTCGAGGTGGTCAGACGTGCCCCAGGTACATATTCCCGCTGCGTGGCCGGCCCCACAGCGTCCTCTGGACTGGCGCCAAACCGGAGCCCAGCCCGGGCCCAGAGCACACATTGCTTTTATTCCCCCTGCCTGCCTACCCACCTAATCCTACCTCAGCCTCTCTCCCCATCGCCATATTTAAACAAATCCACTGCAAAGTTTTACTTCCCAAAATAGGTGATAATAATTGGCTACATAAAGAGAAATATAGTATCTTTGGGTACTTGGCCTGGCTGTCCTCCAGGTGCTGGATCGCTTGTTGCTCCAGGCGAAGGTAGTCGCTAGAGCTGAACTGGGAGAATCAGTGGGCCTGTCTTCTGCCCAGTCCCAACCTGAGATGGGGCGTGGAGGGAGGGGCCATCCCTGGCCGTTGCCACAGGTGGGCCGCTATATGCCACAACAGACTAGTGATGATGACACAATGCCAAACCCCAGGGCTTTTCTCCCGCAACCCCCCCCCCCACCTGGTTTTTGTATTTTTTAAGGGAATATGTGTTCTGTGTCCTCCAGCTGTGCCTGGTGGCCACCACGTACTGATGCTCAACAGTCAGTCTCAGGCTCTGCCTCTTAACCCTCTCACATGGGTCCCTCCACCCTCCACACTTTTTTTGTTACTTTGACATACAGGCAGTGAGGTTACCATCTGATCCTAAAACAGCAATCCTGGAGAGGCCAGACTGTTGGCTACCAGCAGCCACTTTGCTCTCCTCCCTTGCTTAGGGCTGAAACAGGATTTAATCTGTAGTTTTAAAAGTCAGGGAAGTGACGGATTTCCTTTAAAGTATTTCTTCCTTTTTATATATTGCCCTATTCCTCAGGAAGTCATCCCCCTCCCCCCCCCCCCCCCCCCCCCCCGTTTTGTGGCCTCATTCAACCTGTGAAAACTTGTTTTTCTATCAGTTTACTATCTCTGTGATCAGCATGGTTTCTGAGCTCTTTTAACTGGTGGCAGTGGGTTACCTTTGCTCCCCCTAATGGCTGGTTTGAAAAATATGCCTGCTTACTTCTACCCAATTCCAAACCTCGTGACCAGATAACACCTTTCTCAAAAGCATAATAGGCAGAAGTGATTAATACAATTTATTTCTTCTTTAAAAAGAACAGTGCTAGGAGCTTACACAGTGAAGAGATTCTGTGATCCTTGCCATAGTTGTACTTAAGCCATCAAGGCCCATCCCATCAAAATGGTGACATATTCAACATACCCCATTGAATTTTAGGGTTAGGAAAAAGATGTTGTGACGCCCAGGACGTGAAGGGCAACACACAACAGAGAGATCAAACTGTAGTAGTGGGGAATGCCAAGGAGCTGGTCCTGGAAGTAACCAACACGAAGCCCGTGCAGATCCTGCCGGAGAAAGCTGCAAGCAGACCACGGAGTCAGGGAGCGGCTACAGCGTGTCCGAGAGGCCAGAGCTGCTCAGACTAAATGCCCTGAGGACCCAGGTAAAGCAGCATGGCTCGGAAGGGACTTTTTAAATTTTTTCAGTGACAGTTGACAGTCAACATTATTTTAGTTTCAGATGTACAGCATAGTTGTTAGACAATCACATAATTTACAAAATGACATCCTGATAATTCCTTCATCCACCTGGCACCGCACAGTTATCACAACATCATCGACTATATTCCCTACGCTGCACTTTATGTCGCCATGACTATTTTGTAACTGCCTTGTTTTTCCTTCTGAATCCCTTGGGAAGGGGCTCCCGGACTCCTCCTATGGTTCTTCAACCTTTTGGGGTCACACCCTCTTTGAAAATAAAACCCATCTCTTCTTTCCAGAAAAATTGACATACCCACAATTTTGCACATAATTTCAAACAGCTTACAGAACCCACAAAGGTCATCATAAGCTTCTTAGGGGAGCAAGGGTCCCCAGTTAGATGACCCTTATTTGGTGGTAGGCGCGGGTCTGCTCTACTAGGCCCTGTGCCGTGGGAGTCTGATTCTCATTAGGAGTGCTAATACAGCGCTACTTAAAACTTCATGTTCATCATGTAAAGCGCCGGCGCTTTTCCCCTGAGGGAAGACTTGTCATGTTCAAAATGAGATGAATAACTAGGCAACTCAACTGAGAGGTGCAGCAGTAACACTATCGGCGAGGTAGCTTCAATGCTAAGGACTCACTGATGACTTTTTAAAATCAGTGCCCTTTGATCCTTAAAATTACTTTTGGTCTGACTCTGAGGGCTTTTTTCCCCTTATAGGAAGCTACAGACAGTAAATTCCTGAGGAGGAGTTACAGAGTGGCTGGCAAAGCCTCCAGTGGAAGGAGGTAGCGTGCAGGCCACGGGGGATAGCTGAATGAGCAGCAGCATCGTCGCCCCACTAAGACTTCCCTGCAGAGGGGCGGCAGGGAGGCACCTGTGGTGAGAGGCACTGGTGTGCTGGCGGCCCTGGCCAGGGCTGCCGGCCCGGTGGGGTCAGCTTGGAGGACGCTACTCCACACAAGTCACAGGAGACGTGGTCGGCCTGCTTGGGGCGTCTGCGTCCACAGCCTCTCTGCCGTGTTTTCATAAAGCCTACAGTTGTACAGGAGCAACATTTTGTTGCTCCTAATACTAATAAAAAGGTATTCTCTTTATTTCCAAATTGAGTCTCCTTTTTATTATCATGATTAACCTTTACTTGGAAAGCAAGCAGTAAAAACTATTCAGATAGCCATTATTACTTTCAGGGAAAACAGGGTAAGAGGACTTCTACACTTAAAAAAAAAAAATAGGCCCTGAAAGAGACAAGCGCCAGTTCCCCGTAAGGCCGACCCTTTACGGTTGTTGCCCAAAGCAGGATGGATGTGTAAATGTTACGAGAATCACGTGGTGGTTTTATTCTCCTTGCTACTTAAAAAAGGTAACGTGATAGTCAATATCATATGGGGAAAACCAAGTCCACACTTTGTCCTGAATCAACTGCCACCACTTGAGTCTTCTTGGTTAGATCATTTGCACCCACAGTGACAGAATAGGTCCCTGGATACACTTCTATGTAGAGGTCCTTAGAGATGTTGTCAGCCTGGAAGGAAAGCAAATATTAGCAGCTTAGAGGTTTTTATATCCCAATGCCCAGGGCACCCCTACCAGGCTACCTCTGTGTGCCAGAGGCCGGATGGAGTGCAGCATTAATGTGGAAGACCGAGGTCCTGCTTTCAAGTCTCAGCCACATGATAGGACTATCCCTTGGGTAAGTCTCCGTGTCTCCTTATGTGTGTTTCCTTAGTTCTAAGACTGTGGTAATACCTACCCCCTGATGTGAGCACACTGTAAATACCCAAGTATTATAGGAACATGAAGGTTCATAACAGGAACACTCTAGCTAGAGGAGAGAGAGGGAAAGGCTAAGTCCACTGTTTTGGGACCAAAAGCAGACAGTGGCACTTCTTAGCCCAGATTAGCAGTAATGCAGAGGCACCCTGGAATTATGAGAATCATTCTTTTCCAATGTGTTTTTGCTAAATTCATTATTGGGATGATGAAGTATTTCTCCCAAGGCTGTGAATTCTATAAGTAGATTCCATTTTGTCACGCAGCAAGCCGGCCGGCTGGCAAAAGCTATTCCTGGGCAGACTGGTTCTCCGATAGTGCAAAACACGGGACACTGGAGGAAGTGGGAAGACTGATGTGTAGAGCTGAGCTGAGCATGGACTTCACACACGGTGGGGAAGTGGGTCGCGGCAGGTGTGCAAGCAGAGGAGGGCATCTTAGTTTAGATGGCAAAAGAGCAAAGTTGCAAACCAGGAAGGGGCCTGTCATTTAGTGCCAAGGCTCTTATTCCACAGCTGGGTGACCACTCATGCTCACTCAGTGCCCAAAAGGAGAAGCTGTCATTTCTGCCACCACCACCACTCCCAGGGAGGGGACCAAAGCATTGGCCAGCAAATTCTACTAGGAAGATGAATGATAATACTTGTACTTTAAAAAAAAATTATTTATCTTTAGAAGGGAAGGGAAGGAGAGAGGGAGAGAAATATCAATGTATGGTTGCTTCTCATGTGTCCCCTGCTAGGAACTGGCCTGCAACCCAAGCATATGCCCTGATCGGGAATCGAACACGATCTTTTGGTTTGCAGGCCTGCACTCAATCCACTGAGCTATACCAGCCAGGGCTCACTACTTGTACTTTTAAGAAATGTCCTCCTCCTCCACCCAATAGATTTGAAGCCATTCCCCCCGCCCAAACTGCTTTATGTTATATACTTTCATGTTATACTCCACTTACTGCAAAATCAGAGGTGTGGCATCATTTAATTGATGTGAACGACACAAGTATTTACTAGTCATCAACTACGTAAACAAAAGTAGGTTCAGAAAATACAGCTGTATCTGAATTTCAAAAAGGCAATGATGCTTCATTTGTCTGAACAAAAGGACACACATGGGCTAAGGCTGTGTGCTGCCACCATGGGGCTGTCTGGAAGGCTGGCATTACCAAAATCCTGCCAATGCTGCAGGCACCTAAGCCTAACCACTTATACTTGTACTAGGAGGACAGTAGTCTTATTTGCTACTTACTCTGTTATTGGGTCCACCAAAAAGTTTGTTTGGGTTTTTCCATAAGCTGGCTCTAGTAGCACTTAGTTGTCTTTTAACTTTATTCAAAACAATTTTGTTAGGTTGTATTGTGACAGCTGTCATATCAGTGTGCATTTAAAAAAAACATAAAAATTGGTGAATTTTTATGTAGCCATTTCATATTGAAGATGGAATAAGGAACATTTTTGGCATATTATGTTTTATTATTTCAAGAAAGGTAAAAACGCAACTGAAATGCAAAAAAAAAATTTGTGTAGTTTATGGACAAGGTGCTGTGACTGATCAAAACTGTCAAAAGTGGTTTGTGAAGTTTCATGTTGGAGATTTCTCACTGGATGATACTCCGCAGTCAGGTAGACCAGCTGAAGTTGACAGTGATCAAGTTGAGAACAATCAGTGTTATACTGTGCAGGAGACAGCCAACATACTCAGAATATCCACATCAGTAACGTTATTGGTGAAAAAGAAAAATGTGTCTTTTATTTACTGAGAACAGTAAACAGGCTTTTTGGCCAACCCAATATATTCTGAATCTTGGCTAGCACATTGTATACAAAAAGAAAAAAAAAAAGCAAATTACAGCAACATGCTGGAGTTCCTTTCCTCAGGATTCCAACCCTTCCGAGTTCCAAAAGATTTCCTGAGTTTAGAAACTAAAGAGTACTTAATCCTAATGAGAAACTTACCCCTATATGCTTTTTACAGAAAAACATTAGTGGAAAATGGGAACAAATCCCTTCACATGTTTTGGAACCCGATCTCACCAAATGTGTAAGTTTCAGAATGTCAGCAATGGCATTCGCTTTGCAAGCACAAGGGTCAGGCCCCTCCTGCTGCTTGAACAGATGGTGGAATTCCAGCAGGACCCAGCGCCAGCCCAGCTGAGCCATAGGAACTGAGATGGGAATACTTCACATTCTTTCCAACCACAACTATGAGTTCAGGCACAGAGCATCACTAAAGCTTCAAGTGAAGGAAGGATACCGAGAAAACAGAATTTTACACTGACCCACAATATTGTGCATGCTCCACAAGGCTAAAGACACCCCAACATACAGACACTGCAGATCCAACACCAAGAATCATAAAATAACCAGGCCAGCTGGCTCACGATTTTGCAATGGTGGTGAAGCCCCGTGTGGGACACTGGGAGCTCCGTACTCACAGGCGGGGATGTCTCTGGGATGCACTCTGGGGCTTGACAGCTGCCTCCAAATCCAAGGGATGTTGTTTTACTCTGAAGAAACAAGTAGAAACACTGTTTTGTGCCCAAGTTCTCACTTCTGGATTACAAAGAGAAACTTTCTCCTACTTCATTAGGAACTAACAATTTTTCTAAGTTGTCACCTAAATTATTAAGGCTTTTAGCGAATTCTGTGAGATATTTTTAGTCAGATGTTCACCATGATTACTTTTAACCTTCATGGGCTTTGGAGCCAGATAAACCTGAGTTTGAATCTTATGTCTGCTATTTACAGAGAGGGATTCATTTCTCTAAGCTTTGCTTTCCTAGTCTACAACATGGGGGTACGAGATTGGAGAGAAGAGTTAAAGTGTAGAAGTGGCAGACACTTAACAGGCTCTCAGAAAACAGAAGTGTCTTCAGTGCTTATCTCAGGAGTGTGGCTACCCAGAGGGGGACAGGCTGAACGATACATTCCCCTGAGAGGCACAAGCTTGCAATTTACAGGGAAAAATGGGAGAGATAGGAATGACCCTTGCCCACAAATAACCCCTTTGGCGTCAGGCCAGAAAAGGGAAGCTGGGGTTCAGGTTCTGGTGCTGCTCCTTATATCCCAGGGAACAAGAGGGGCTTCCCGTGTGCATTCAGTTCTCACACCCATCCCTATGGCCACGCTTCCCTTCCCCAAACCCACAGGCCAGAGAAGTCACAACTCCAACCTGAAGATTAGACTCGGGATTTAAGTTGGCTATTTTTTTTAGCACAACTAGGGGGGTTTAAAAACAAAAATAAAAGCACCTACTCTCCTTGGCAACAAAGGATTTCTGTCAGATCAGTTCAACAAGTAGAATCTTTGTCTTCCCCAGAATGACACGTAGTAAAAACCAGGTAAGTTTGTAGTGAGAGGCCTGTAAGTGTTATTATCTTTAGGAAAAGTATTTTGCTAAGAGACCCTCTTCTTGCACTTTTAAAAAATTACCTAAGACATGATACATATCACTACCTTAGAATAAAATATGATTATGAAAAAAAAAAAATCTCTCCCCTATCCCTAAAGTAGAAGAGGATATTCAAAGCTCTTTTCTTTGAGCCTGCCCAAGAATCCCACGGCCAGGACTGCAGGTTCGAGGGAAGATCCTACAATGGCATCAATATTATATTTTAGACAAACTCCTATTTCATGTTCACTGCCAAAAGCTTTCTGAACTGGGGGTTGATACATTTCCGTGGAGCAGTGGAATGCTGAGTCACGCAGACATCCGATAATACAGCTCCAGCAGGAGCTCCCGACAGAGGGCCTCCCACCTTGGGAGGCTCAGCGCACAGCACAGGACAGTTGAGGACCCGTACCTGACCACTCCCTAGGTCCGAGCACGAGTGCAGTTGTGACTTCCTTCTGTGATATCGATAGACGTGGGTTGCCCCTCCTTCCTCTGGCACAGATGAATAATATTTCTAGAGAAGTAATGTGAAAGATGTGGTTAAATAGTCTGGTTAAATTTTCAAAAAACTCTGTTACTTAGGCAAAATAGGGCTAAGAAGGGAGGCAAAAGAGCAAAGGTAAATTACCGGCCTGCGAAGTCATTTAACACATCTGGGCCCATGTAAACTGGCTGCAGAGAAGGAAGGTGCATTTGGCATTGCTTTGCTGCCATCTGCTGCCTCTGTAGGGCAATAGCTCTGGCCAACTAAAGCTGGGCAGGACCATGCTTTGCTGGGTTAAATAGTTTTCCTGACTGCTCCCCCATGCCAAATACACAAGCCTTTTCATCTTCTCTCATAAGTTCTGGTGCACAACAGTTCCACATTAATTGTCTAAGTCTCAGACAAGGACAAGGGAGGAAAGGGGTGTATCTCCTTGAGATTTGGAAATATAACAGGAAATGTAACAAGAGCTATGCAGCCGCTCTACCCTGTGGAGGAGGGGAGGGGAAGGAAGACGTCTCCAATTTAAGGACAATAATCCAAAGGATCAGAAAGCCGTTATATTTTTCTTGTCTGCTTCCTTCCCTTTGAAGTTAACCTTAGATTTGTCCTTGATTATGACTAATAATGAATTTATTAGTCTGTTGAATTGGAACGCAGCATAGGGACAGTATTTAAGGTAGGAGACCAAAAGAATGAGATGCTAGAGAAAGCACTTCAAGACATGGATCCAATGACGTATCTTAGGGGCTGCTTCAATATTGTGATGACAAACTTTTACTGTTTTTAATTCTATCTCAGAAAGACAAGGAGTTCTGAGGCTCCATTCCATAACAGAGACCTGAACTGAAAACCAAAATGAAGAACACCAATTTGCTAAACCTCAAACCAAAGACAAATATTATTCCTTTTAAGTTGATCACTTCACAGTAGAGCCCAAGTTATGAATTTTTCTAAAACCCCTTAACAGAGTAAGAACATAAAAGTATTCTCTGAACTACATCTCATTGGTTGGAATCTTGTTCTCAGAGCCATAGGGATTCTATGAAAGTTGTAGAAAGATTAGAGTTTTTGGAATCTTACTATATAAAACTGAAAAGCAAGACAGAAACAAGGCATTCTCTTCCTTCTCCCTTATAGACCTGCATGCTTACAACCACGTAAGAATCACAAACGGTTAAGGCTGGAAGAGACCCAGAGTCTGTTGTGATTCTTAGACCATAAAGAATGACTTCCATGCAGGTGATTTCCTTGAATTTTGGCTGGCCTGCCTTCAACATTCCCTCAATGTACTTAAAGATGACCTTAGCATAATTTTGAGAAGAGGGTCTTTAAAACCTTTGCTCATCCATTTCAATGAATGGTACCAAATGTGGTAACCATAAATCTTCATGCTCTAGTTTATGATAATTTTCTGATGTTCATCTCTCAGTGGAAACTAAAGAAACAGACTGTAAAGGCTGGAAAGGATTTTAGAGATCTTCATTCTTTCCACAGGGACAGTAAGGGTGAGTGAGACGAACTGCCCTAGGGTGTTACAGCCAGTATGTGGCAGACCTTGGGTCTGACTCCCTGGAGGCTGCTCCTGTTCCACAGAACCACCTTTGCAGCCAACAGGCAATAAGAACCCATAGAGACATACCTAAAACCTACCTTACCAGGGACTTGAAACAGGGATTAAATTCTAATGTGTGGATATTGTTTCAATACATTTTGAAAGCAGAGAGGCTCCGTTCCCATTTAGAGTGATCCTAATGAATTTTTTTTAACTCATCAGTTCAAAGTTTAAAAAACTCCAAATATTTGGGCTGGATTGTTTTGGAATTCAGCAGATGAGGGCAGAGTCACCTTTTCTGACTTGTTCGCTGCTTTATCCTCAATAATATCTACTGAATTAGGCATTCAATAAATATTGTTGAATTCTACCAATAGCTTGGATTTATCAACTGGTTTAAATCCTTAAGTGATTACAACTGACACATGAAGGGAGGGCAGGGTGAAATGGTAGTCTCCAGATTCTCCCTAAAGTCCACAAAGGTCCACTTTGTGATCCATCACCAGGCAGATCCAGGCATGGCTTCAGCTTACACCAACTTACCCCACACTGACTTGAAGTATAGTCCATGAATTCAGCCATTGTTCTGAAGGAAGCACTGAGGGTTGGGCATCTTTCTTCTCTCTATTTGAATAAATGGCAAGTCACAGGTGAGATCTGGTATTCCCTACTGGAGAATGAAGTCATTTGGGGAATAGCTTCCGTTTTACTTCTTGAAAGTCTCTGAAAGTTTAAGTTGTTGAGAGAGATTTTACTAAGAAAGAACTCCAACTCTAAAATGAGTAAATTGACATGCAATTTACCCAGGACAAAGATTGGTTTACAGGTTTTCCTCTAATCTCAGATGGTTGCATATAAGATTTTTTTTTTTTTAATTAACCAACCAGGGCCGAGCACTAGCAGTATCCTAGAGCTACCCAATAATGATCTGTAAATGTCACGAGTTTTCAAAGAGCTTTTCCGTTCACTTTCTGGACACTTCACAGCTTCCACCGCCAAGGGCAGGATCCCTCAGGTGCTTCCGTACAGTCCTTGCCCCGATCCCCAGCAGGCCACCGCTGGGCGAATGAATGGGCTGGTTCCCCAGCACAGTGGCCCTCACCTCTCCTAGGAGAAGGCGCTCGGGGCCGGCTGCGGGCCATCTTTCTCCGTAGGGCCGCTCCTGGGAAATGACCCCCACGCTGCCTTTGGGAAACTCCAGAGAAGGCCAGTCCACCGCCCTCCTCTTAGCCCGCTCCAGCACTTCTTGACCCAGCCTAGCCGAGCGCTGCAGGGAACGCCGGTCCACCCCGTTCAGCGCCGCGGCCGCCAAGCAGTTCTCCATGTAGACCTAAGCGGGCACACATATGTAAACAACGGCGGGTCAGCCGGATGCCATGACTCTGCTACAGCTTTGTGTCCGGGCCAGGGCTTCTACCGCCCCAGCGAACAGCACCCCCCGCCTCCGCCCCCAACACGCTACCCAGCGACGGCCCCCTTCGATTTCCACCTCCCCCTACCCTCCAAAGGAAGCCCTTACCCAGCCCATCTGTCAAGGCGCATGCGCTCAGCGTTCCAGCCGAGAGGGAGAGCTGAGTCTAAAGCACCCGGCGCCGGCGCAGCAGGAGGCTGGAGGGAGGCGGGGCGGGGCAGTAGGGCGGGGCGGTGGGGCGCAGGTATTGGCGGGTGGTGGAAGGCGGGGGCGCATGCCCTACGCGGGACACGCCTCCTGCGCGTTGTCCGCGACCTTTGCGTGAGGGCAGCCGAGTGAAAAGGAGAGCGCCGGAGGCGGGGGCGTTGTACGGTGGCGTGTGTAACACGCAGCCGAAGCCCTCGTGGGCTCTGTTGGAGGCGCCTCAGGGCCTGGGTCCTGGCTCTTGGAGGTCATCTCCGCTACTTAACGTAATGAACTTGATCTGACGTCAGGTGGTCTCTTGTTGAGTTAAGAAATTGTGGGAATAAGACCTCGTGCCTCTGGGCACCTCTTTCTGCCTGGTCAATATTTTGGGATGTTGCTACTTTTATTTGAGGAGTTGGGTAGGATAGGCCACACAGTGCGGCTGCCAAGGTGGCGTTTGGAGAAGGAAGTCTCTTTGGCCGGCTGGCTGTGGACGATGGGACGTTTCAGCCAGAAGGCAGGTATTTCTGGCCCACGGCCAGAGGGACGCCTTAGTTGCTTGTAGGATAATGTAATCCTCTAGTGGCAACTTCCTCGCCCCACACAATTGTGTGAGTTGAACACAGCCTTTAAGAATAGTTGAACCACGGTTAACCAGGGGATTGTGTAGTTACCTTTCCACCCCAATCCTTTCGGATATTTGATAGATGTAAGCCAAGGTCTCGTTATTTAGTGACTCCTCTACCCAACCCTGTGTGCAACAAAGCATTGGTGCTCAGGAGGGACCAATTTAAGAGAGGAAATCGAATACTCACCTAGGCTCCTCAGCAGATGACTTGATTAGCAGTTCTGAGCTATTGCCTATATAATAAAATACCTACACATTTTTGCTCATTTCCTCTCAAAAAGTTGAGAACTGGGTTTAAATTCTGACTTTGCCACTTTTTTTTTCTGTGTGATTCTGACAAATTACTTAAATCCTTCGGGCCTCAATTTTATCTCTATACCTGGGGACACCAATAGTACCAACGTCCCTAGACTATAAGCTTCTTGCAGGGACTATATCTGTCTTGTTTACTGAATTTAAGATGCATCTAGTATTATATCTGTCACAGAATGGGCTAAAAATAGCTATTGTGAATTGGGTTGCTGTAAGGATTTTGTGAAATCATTCTTGCAAAATGCTTAGCACAATGCCTTGGAAAGAATAAGTTTCCATGGATTTAGTTAGCATTATTATGTGCCAAGGCACTGCCCTAGGAGGTGTGGAGAATAGAAGATGGGAAAAAGGAAAATAAAAAGAATGACATAAAATCTGTAATGTCAAACAAAATAGGGCTTGTCATAAAGTTTAAAAAGATAGTGTTATGTAGGTTAGAGGAAAAAGAGATTATGTTTAGTTGCGGGGGAAGGGTCAAAGAAGGCTTTGTGGAGACGGAATTAGTTCAGCTATACCTTGAAGGATGGCCTAGACATTAATGAGAAAGGGGCTAGTCAGCTTACCTCTTAACTGCTTTTGTAATGAGTGTGGTCAAAGGTAGAGAATTTGGTATTCTTTTATTATGGACTTTAAGACCCTGACTCTACTACTTTTAGCTGTGTCTGTGTAACCATGAACAGCTTATGCAACTGTTCTATATCTCGGTTTTATTATTTATAAAATGGGAATGATAGTAACTAATTCTTCATAGGGTTGCTGTGAGGATCAAATAACTAATACACAGAAAATGCTTTCAATGGTATTTGGCACAAAGTTCTCCATGATCAGACGTGATCAGACTGGTCTTCCAATATGTCCTCACCTGGTTCTAGAGCCACACCTTATCTGACTTGGCTCTTCCCCAGGAATCTATTGCTACCTACTTTCATCATTTTGGTTCAGTCGAAGCATTACTTTCTTTTTGTCGAGTCAACTCTTTGAAATCTCCAGTTATTCCCAAGTTGCAACATCTGTTTTCATAGCTTTTAAAAAATATCTGTTGTGGTACTTACTTCAATCTGATTAAAATGATATGTAATTGTACTTCATTCTCTCCCAACAGCTTATGGACTCCCTGAAGGCAGGAACTGTACCTTATTTGTTCCTAAATATCCAGGGCCTGTTAATTAGTGAGTATTCAATAGACATTGTTGAATAGACTGACTCAATTTCTAATTTAAATAGACACCTCTCAAGCCAGGTAAGAGTTGGCTATAAAAAAATTACCCATGTGCACTTTAAAGAAGTGATGAATATTCAGCTATAACTAATTTTCCCAGAATTTAACATTTCGAAGTATATGAAAAAGAAGATGCTTAGAATGAAACTGAAGACTAAAGACTGGCACCAAATGAAATCTTTGCATTTATTTTTATATTTATGTTTATATGTATATCGTTTATAACTTTAAGGTTTGTACTGTAAACCACAGTTTGAGAGAATCCTTTTTCTCTTTTAAAAAATTGAATGGAAATGAGAATGATGGAACATGACTTACCATCAGGGCCCTTGTGGGTCAAACACAGCCCAAGGCAGGTACTTGAGAAAGCCATCAGTGAGACTGGGAAATGAAGGAGAACGTGGAGGAAGGGCAGATAGTGTGCTCTGGTCATCAACAGAGAGAGCAGCTGTTGGTTTGTTTTTCATGATTTATCTGTTCATGAGGGTAGATTCATTACAGAGAATATGTAGAAGTTATTTGTCTAGGTTATATGGTTTGGGGAATAGATGGGTTGGAAAAAGTCTTTACTCCTGAGATCTGAGGAATGAGATGGGTGCTGTATATTTTGGGGGAAATTTTAAGGAGAAAAAGCAAGCCTAGGGAGGAACAATGCAAATTCCTTCTTCCTCTGTGTGAAGGGATCAAAAAAGAGTTAAAAACTTAGGATGCAAAAGTGGATATTGTGCCTGAGTTAGACAATGATTTACACTGTACATACCAGAGAGTGTATAAATCACTTCATTTGACAGGTGGTATTTTTATTTCTTCAGAAGACTTAGGAGCTTTAGGCTTTATTACAGCTTTGTAAAGTAGTATTATGTATGAGTCATTAGATCATTCATTTTGCCTGATTACATCAACTCATTGGGTGATTGGGGAATGAAAGAAACTCATTATCAAAATTGCCATCTTGATTATATAGATTAAAGAGGATGAATCAAACTTCTGAGAATTTGCTTTTAGAACCTTTTAAAATTGACTGGAAGTGAACTAGTTGGTTGCAGAGCAGGAATGATTGGGGAAAAGTTTTGTCATTTAATTTAAAAGTTATCAGAGATTTGAAGGAATTATAATTTTGGAAGATATAAATAGTTAGAATCCATGTAGAATTTTTTAAAAACTATTTTATTGAGGTATAATTCCCATGTAAAATTTACCCGTGTCAAGTATACAATTTAATAATTTTTAGTGAATTTACAGAATTGTGCAAACATCATGCCAATGCAGTTTGGGAGCATTTAGATTTGCTGAAAAAGATCCCTAGTGCCCACTATATGCAGTCAGTCTCAGCTCCCACTGCTAGACCCAGACAACCAGTGTTCTGCTTGCTGTCTCTATAAATTAGCCTTTTGTGGATAAGTCATGTAAATGGATCATGAATGAAAATATGACTTTGTTGTTTGGCTTCTTTCACACAGCATAGTATTTTTGAATCTCATCCATGTTGTAGTATGTATCAGTACTTCATTCCTTTTTATGGCTGAATAATATTCCATTGCATGACTACACTACATCTGGGGTATCCACGCACCAGTTGGTGGCCATTTTTGTTGTTTCCCCTTTGGGGTTATTATGACTAAGGCTGCTATGAAAGACTGCATATAAAACTTAGTGTGGGTACCTGTCTTCATTTCTCTAGGGGAGATACTTAGGAGTGGAAATACTTGCATGGTAAATTTATGTTTAACATTTTAAGAAACTACCAGTGTGTTTTCCAAAGGGACTGTACCATTTTACATTCCCACAAGTGATGTGTGACGAGTCTAGTTTTTCTGTTTTTCTATATCTTCTTCAATACTTGTTTTTTTTATTGTAGTCATTCTAGTGAGTGTAAAGTAGTATCACATAGTGATTTTAATTTGCATTTCCTTAATGACTAGTGATGTGGATCACCTTTTCCTGTTATTAGCCATTCCTATTTCTACTTTTCTGAAATGTTTATTTAAATCTTTTGGTCATTTTTAAATTAGCTTGCTTTTTTTTATTACCAAATTGTGAGAGCTTGTACTCTGAGCAAGACTTCTTTTTTTCACTTATGTGGTAATTATTCCCCCCAGTTTATGACATGTCTTTCACTTTCTTACTGATGTCTTTTGAAGCACAAACATCTTAAATTTCGATGAAGTCCAGTTTATTGTGTTTTTTAAAATTTTATGGATTGTGCATTTGGTGTCATCTAAGAAATCTTTGATTAACCCAATGTTGCGAAAGTTTTTTCCCCATGTTTTCTTCTAAAAGTTTTATATTTTAGTTTTACACTTAGATTTATGCCATTTTGCATGTATCTGTGTGTTATGATGTAAGGGTCTTTTTTCTTGTATGTATGCATGTATGTATATATGTATTAATTTATTGTTCTATTACATTGACCCAGTTTTCCCCTGATGATGTAAGGGTCATAATTCATCTCTTTACATGCAGATGTCCAATTGTCTCAGTACCATTTGTTGAAAGACAAACCTTTTGTCTTTAAGCTTTTGCCATGAAGTTGCCTTGGCACTTTTGTTAAAAATCTGCCCTGGCCAGGTGGCTCAGTTGGTTGGAGCGCCATCCTGTACACCGAAAAATTGTGGGTTTGATCCCCAGTCTGAGCATGTGTGGGAAGCAGCCTGTTGATGTTTCTCTCTCACACTGATGTTTCTTTCTCTCCCCATTTCTCTCTCTCTCTCTCTCTCTCAACAATCAATAAGCATATCATGAGGTGAGGATTAAAAAATATCTATTGATTGTGAATATAAGAATTCAGTTTTGGACTTTTAATTGTTTCATTGATCTATATGTTTGTCCTGATGCCTGCACCACGTAGTTTT